GTGGGCTTGTTGCTTCTGAGCTGGATGGCTGCTTGTTTACCTTCAAGCCTTTAAGACCCCAGATGTTTTATCTTTTGATAGCTGGGCGCTATCAGCTTTCTTCACCACATTTGCTTATGCACCCGCTTTGTCTTCGGCAATTGTGTCGGGAAGATGTGCATCATGAAATAACCAATTTAATAGAACAAAGTGTTCTTGCATTGAGGAAGTACTTGAGTGGAAGCCCAGTGTCCATCTGCTGCCTTAATACTAAACCTATAAATATAGGTACATAGATCTACTTCCCCACCATCCTATAGAAATATAGTTACATATGTACATGCCTGTATTTAGATCTCTATAAATGCCCTTTGCCTCCTAGTTCTTTTCTCGATTTCCATTTCCTTTCCACTTGTCCCACTATCATGCTCAGCCTTCATTTGGGTTTCAGTAATTTCTCTCGGTTACATTGCCCTTGATCAGTCCCTACCAGGCCTCTCACACCCTCCTTGCCACCGATTTGGATCACTTGTTGTTCCCTTGTTCCTGTGTTGGTCAACACCATGCCCTTTCCCCCACCTCCCCCTCCACCTCTCATGTCCCCCTGGAACCATCAGTCCTGTTGTTTTCTCCTCCAGACTGTTCATCCAGCCTATCTTATCTAGATAGACCTGCAGAGATAATAAGACAAAAGAAAACAAAACGACAATAACAACAAAAATACGAATGGTCAAAAAATAAAGAAACACCTTTACATAGTTCAAGGTCTATTTGTTGACCTCTAGGAGTGTGAGTCTGATGGGGTGCCACGCCCTGGCCCCAAAGTCTATCCTTTGCACTCCTTCAGTACCTCCTTGCTCTGCTCCCCCTGCTCCTCTGCTGCACACCCTTAGTGTTTTGCCTCCATGTGGTGGGGTCAGACTGGGCCTATCCCAACCCTGTCTCCAGTGTCGTCCCCCCTAGGGCCATGGGTCAGCAAAGGATATCATGTCTCATAGTGGGGCCAACCATATGCTCCACTCTGTGCATTGGCTGTTCCTGCTCTAATCTTCTGTATGGGTGGTGTTACCTTTTCTTGAAGTGGAATTAAACCATACACACAGTTGGAACAATAGCTAAATGAACTTTCAAAATCAGTTTTCAAAGGGTGGTACATTAAAAAAAAGGGTGGTACAGAGCTGACTCAAGAAAACTTCATTATACTGAGAGGAGGAAAGAAAAGGTATTTAGTCAAGAAAACAGATTTTTCTATGACAGAAACATCTGGCAAGATAGAAAGCAAGTTTGGTGATACTATGGGCTAATTTGTGTTTCTAGTGATGTCCTTCCTGAGATCCGTGCTATCTGTATGGAGGAGATCGGGTACTGGATGGAAAGCTACAGTACCTCCTTCCTCACTGACAGCTACTTAAAATACATTGGCTGGACCCTGCATGATAAGGTGGGAGTTGCCCATATCCCTTCCTACTGTTTCCCTCATCCTGTCCCCTGCTGGAGGATGGGTACAGGTGTTCCTGGACCTGCTGCCCCTTGAGTATTGAGGACATCCCCTCCTCCCCCTTCTCAATAGCACCGAGAAGTCCGGCTAAAGTGCCTGAAGGCTCTGAAAGTCTTGTACAGCAACCGGGACATGACTGTGCGCTTGGAGCTCTTCACCAACCGTTTCAAGGTGACACTGGGACAGTCTCCTTTGCTTGTCCTTTGCTTGGGTCTCCTCCTCTTCTGCTGCGTGGGTTTCCGTTTCTGCTCTTAGGTATAGCAGTACCTGCTGGTGTACTCTTTCCAGGAAACACTTAACTTCTAAGAGAACATGATGTTTTGGAATGGGAAGACTGGGATACTGACAGTGTTCTCCTTGCCGCAGGACCGGATGGTTTCCATGGTCATGGACAAAGAGTATGATGTGGCAGTGGAGGCCGTCAGACTACTAACACTTATCCTTCAGTAAGTCCCAGGAAGTGGGAGGCAACCGTTTTGGGCTTTTACCTTCTCAGCATTAAGGAGGCCCTACTGTAGTTGTATCCCTGCACCTGTTGAAGGTTGATGTTTACATGCAGGTGGGAAGGTACAAGTCGTTCCTGAGTAACAAGATCGCTAACTCTCTATACTCCATATTCATTGAACACTTCTTGATGAGTTATAGCCTCATTATTTTCATGTCTTTGGTTTCTAGCCACAGTTGTGCTAGAAGATTGTTATGCATATATCTACACACCCTTTTCTCCTGACAGAAACATGGAAGGGGTGCTGACAGACACAGACTGTGAAGCTATCTACCCTGTCGTATATGCCTCCAACCGAGCCCTGGCCTCTGCTGCAGGAGAATTTCTCTACTGGAAGTGAGTGGGATGATTTCTTCATTCCATTCATTTAGCCCAACCCTCCAAGTTTTCTCCCCCATCATCAGCTGCTTGTCTGCCAAAAGATTCCCCAAACCTCTTTGTAAAGTGTCATTTGGTGTCTCTCTTCCTTTCTCACTTCCTGAGGACTGTATTTAGCTCTGGACATCTTTTTCCTTTACCCCTCTTCATGGGACATTTGTCTCCCCCCATGGTGATCATTCCACTCCCAATGTCCTCCCATGCTGACCTTTCCTTCTGTTTATTCACCAGGCTCTTTTACCCTGAGTGTGGGATGAGAACAGTAGGGGGAAGAGAAAAACACCGAAGCCCACGCTCCCAGAGGACTTTCTTCCACCTTCTGCTGTCCTTCTTTGTGGAGAGTGAGGTGACTTACGGGCAGGAGGTGTCTGGGTGGTGTGCATCAGGTAGAGAAAGATGGGGTGGCATTCTGGGAGTTCTTGTCTCCTGTGAGAGGTCAGTGACTTCATGTATGCCGTGTCTTCTTCCACAGCTCCATAATCATGCTGCGTACTTAGTAGACAGCCTGTGGGACTGTGCAGGGTCTCAGCTGAAGGACTGGGAGAGTCTGACAAGCCTGCTGCTGGAGAAGGATCAGAGTGCGTGCCATATGGTAGTCTGGGGCAGTGGGGCTTGGCCTCCTGATAGGAAACCAGATGAGATGCTTTTCTTGACTGGTGAAGAGCCAGCATAGCTGCCTGGGACTAGGGGGAACATGGAAATAGAAGAGGGTTAATCTCACATTCTCTGTGTTTGACCCTCCTGCCATCCCAGGCCTGGGGGACGTTCAGGAAAGCACGCTGATAGAAATCCTGGTGTCCTGTGTTCGGCAAGCTTCTGAGAGCCACCCACCTGTTGGCCGAGTCACTGGGCGAAAGGTATGGCATAAGGGGGAAACTGCGTAGCTTAGGGATGCTAAAGTCACATAGACACTACCCATTCTTACCCTTAGGACTTGGGTTAGGGTACACCTTCTTTTGCCCCTAAAAGAAAGTCATTTCCCAAGAAAATCCTGAAGGGTGCTGCTGTGCTGAATTCTCTTTGCCTTTTTAGGTTATGAAGATCACACAAGGAGCGATAGATTTACACACACTCTTGATCTAGCACGGCTCCACATCTTCCTTCTTTCCCAACTCCAAATGACTCTCATTCCAGGGATTAACAGCTAAAGAACGTAAGGTCCAAGCTGATGACAAAGTGAAGCTGACCGAGCACCTGATCCCCCTGCTGCCCCAGCTGCTGGCCAAGGTAGTGCGCATATCCCACCCCTGCACCAGGGGCCGAGCGGGTAGAAGGAAAGACCTTAATGAAGAAGGGAAGTTGGAGTTCGCATTGCGATAGCTAATAAACATGTTCCGTTTTCCAAACACCACAGTTCTCCGCTGATGCAGAGAAAGTTGCTCCCTTGCTGCAGCTTCTCAACTACTTTGACCTTAACATCTACTGCACCAGGCGCTTGGAGAAGGTAGACAGGGAGGAGGATACATTTCTCCTGCCATGTTGCTTCTCTGGGATGGAGTGGGGTTCTAGCTGGTTCTCAGAAACCTTGGGTTCCAGAGAAATCAGTAAGCTTTTCTGTTGTTTGGCATCCTCCTCGTTAAGTTGCATGCTTTTAGCCCTCTTATCTCCCTCAGTATTCTCCCCACTCCACCCTCGTTCCAAAAGAGTTGTCCTCTCATCCTCTTCGACCTTCTCTCCCAGCACCTGGAGCTGCTTTTGCAGCAGCTCCAGGAGGTGGTGGCGAAGCATACAGAGCCAGCTGTGCTTGAGGCCGGAGCTCACGCTCTCTACCAGCTCTGTAAGCCTGAGTTCACCTTCTTCTGCCGGGTGGACTTTGCCCGCAGCCAACTGGTGGATCTGCTGACCGACCGCTTCCAGCAGGAACTTGAGGAGCTGCTGCATGTGGGTGCTACAGCTAAGTGATAGGACACCTCAAACTAGAGTGGGAGAGAGCCACAGAAGAGGACTCTCAGTACACAGGCTCCTGGGAAAGTCTGATGGTGGGCCTTCTTTCTTCCAGTCCTCCTTCGTAGATGAGGATGACGTGTATAGTCTGGCGGCCACTCTCAAGCGCCTCTCTGCCTTCTACAAGTGAGCGATTCCCTCTCCAGCTTCTAATGTGGTTACCGGAAACTTGGGAAGTTGATTCCTCACATTTTCTTCCTCTTTAACATACATCTGTTTCCTCTTGCCCCCCAAAGTGCTCATGACCTGACTCGCTGGGAGCTCTATGAACCATGCCACCAACTCCTCCAGAAAGCTGTGGATACTGGAGAGATTCCTCGCCAGGCAAGTAGACAAGTTGGAAACGAGGCAAAAGAAGCATTTTTAAGGACCTTGTGAACTAGGTGGCCAACTTGCCTGCGTGGGCCCAACCCCAAGGATATGGCATGGACAGAGGGAGGAAGATTTACAGTGATTTACGGACAGGGAGGAAGATTTACGGACAGGGAGGAAGATTTATAGTGGAGCTTTCTGGTCCAGTCATGGAAGGTGGACCTTTCTTCCCAGAGCCTGGAAATGGCTGTTCTTTCTGGTTCTGGGCATCAAGGATGCCCCTGGAGGATTCTAGGGAATTCAAATAAACTAGGGAGAAGTAGAACTTGTACCCATGATAGAAGCCTCTGGACATTGTCAGCAGCAGCAGTCCTTTTCTACCAGAAAAGGAATCCGCTCTTATATCTCATTTTTCTCTCTTCACTGCTTTCGTGTATCTGTCTGACAAGTTTTTCCTTTTTCCTTCCTCTTCTCCCTCCCCTTGCTCACACTTGGCTTTTCTAACCTTTTATTGTTCTCTTTGTTACAGGTGATCCTTCCAGCCTTGACTCTTGTCTATTTTAACATCCTCTGGACACTAACCCACATCTCTGAAGCAGATGTTTCCCAGGTGAATGTTGTTCTGAGCAGGGGAAGGAGAATAAAAGGCCTGTGTCTTCATCCCTCCCTCTGTCCACGGTGTCCACAGGATCAGTTGCTGAGTTTGAAGAACAAAGTGATGACCTACTGCGAGCTCTGCCAGAGCTTCCTCTCTGATGTAGACCCTGAGATCCAAGAGCAGGTGAGAGTTGACTGTGAGAGCAGGGAGGCAAGGATCCCTTTGAGGGGACCCCATTCAAAGAGGAAGTAGCTGTTTAATTTCTATCAACTACCCTTACGCATTCTTTTTCTCTCTCTCTCTCTTTCAACAGGCTTTTATCTTACTAAGTGATCTACTTCTCATCTTCAGCCCTCAGATGATTGTAGGGGGAGGCGATTTCCTGAGGCCCCTTGTCTTTATTCCTGGAGCCACTCTCCAGTCTGAACTAGCCAGCTTCCTCATGGACCACGTCTTCATCCAGCCTGGAAACCTGGGCAGTGGTACTTGGACGATGGCTTCATGTAGCCTGGGCCTCTGATAGGAGCTGGGGTGTGGGCCTGCCTCTGGAATATGGGGCAGGAGACAAGTCTGTGATTCTAATCTTTCCTTTCTGCTTGTGGTGGTCCAAGGGCCAGGTGATTCCCAAGAGGATCATTTACAGATCGAGCAGCTGCATAAGCGCCGCCGCCTCCTGGCTGGGTTCTGCAAGCTGTTGCTGTACGGGGTCCTGGAGATGGATGCAGCCTCGGATGTTTTCAAGCACTACAACAAGGTAGCGTGCACCTCTGGAGAAATAAAGGGGGAGGGGACCAAGTTGAGCCCAACGTGGTTTCAAACACTGCGTTGTTAGATGCTGCCTCGCACTGTCTCACAGTGACCCCTGTACAATAGAAAGACACACTGCCTGGTCCTGGGCCATCCTCACCACGGTTGTTAGGTTGGAGTCCACTCTTACAGCCAGTGGTCAGTCCATCTCATTGAGGCCCTTCCTGTTTTTTCCACTGAACCTCTACCTTACCGAGCATGATGTCCTTCCCAGGGACTAGTCCCTCCTGCTACCATGTCCAAAGTCCATGAGAAAAACACACCTCCTCGTTTCTAAGGAGCAAACCCTCTGGAACCTCTGGAAAGGAGGCTGGGCTCTCAAGTAGAAGAAGCAGTAGGGAAGAGCAGGGAGTTTAGACTGAAGGGACAGACAGAAGAGGTTTAGTGCTGGAGGTGGGGGTGCTGCTGTTAATAATAAGATTGCTATTCCTCTTATTCTTCCTGCAGCAGATAAGGAAGGCAGGCAGGCTTCAGGACTGAGTGGGACTGTGCACTGGCAGGCTTGCACTCTTCCAAGAATGGCCTCAGGGCAGATTTTTTTCCCTTCTTTTTAAACCTAAATTCTGATTTCTTTGGGGCTTAGCAGCTATGGGCTAGAGATGGGGTCTAGTTGAAGGTACTTTATGCTCAGAGCTGGTTGGCCCACCTCTGGCACTTCAGAACGACACAGGTTAGGATTGTGCAGGAGAGGAGCAAACCCTGGAAGCAGCTCTTTCCAGTGACTGTCAGGTCAGTCATTGCCTCTCCTCCACTCTCCCTCAGTTCTACAATGACTATGGCGACATTATCAAGGAAACCTTAACTAGAGCAAGACAGATTGACCGAAGCCATTGCTCCCGAATTCTGCTGCTGAGCCTCAAGCAGGTACTCCCTTTTCCCTAGAGTGCCTCAGCCCTATGCCATGCCCTCCCTATCAACCACAAGCTCTCCTGTCCACCCTCAACTGAAGTGTAGGAACTTTCTCTTTTACTTTGACTCTTGGTTTCTACACAGTAAGTGCTTTCACACCTAGAAAGTAACTTCTAACCAACTGTGGACTATCTACCCCAACCCCATAGAGATTTCACCGTCAATGAGAACATAAGAACACCAACAATGATATGATAGGCCGTCTGGCATGTTCTTCCTCCCGCTGTTTCACAGTACTATTGCTATTTGTGCTTTTTAGCATCAGCAGGGATCAGGGATGGGACAACATCTTGGGAGGAAAGAAGAAGGAAAAAATCATGGGTTGCATTTTTGTATTCCTGGGCAAGAAAAGGAATGCTGTGCATTTATTTTTACTTTGTTCTTCCCTTTCCAAATGGACCACGTCTTCTGGACACAGTTGTACACAGAACTGCTGCAGGAACAGGGCCCCCAAGGCCTGAGTGAGCATTCAGCCTTCATTGAGATGAGGGATCTGGCCAGGAGGTTTGCCTTGAGCTTTGGACCCCAACAGCTACAGAACCGTGACCTTGTGGTCATGCTACACAAGTAAGGAAGGATTGGCTGGAAGTCCAGCTACTGGACTAAGTCTTGGGGCTCACCGAGGCTGTGTAGAGAGAGCTGGGAAGGCAGGATAATCAAGAGGTAGACATTGGGGTGGCTGTACACTGAGAAGCTAGCTGAGAGGAGGATGTCCGTGGGTTGTGTTCCTGGCCCCTGGGAGGGAAAGAGGAAGGGACTACCTTCCACAAATAGTTCTGTCTATCCAGGGAAGGTATCAAGTTCTCCTTGTCTGAGCTTCCTCCCGAGGGCTCCTCCAGTCAGCCCGCAAACTTGGCGTTCCTGGAACTGCTTTCAGAATTCTCCCCCCGGCTCTTCCATCAGGACAAGCAGCTGCTGTGAGTTAGTGCCAGTGGGGGAATAGGGGTGTGAATTAAGGAAGATGGATGGGAAAAGCCCAGTGGCCACTTCAACCACTTTGTCTCCCTCCTTCTTTAGCCTGTCTTACCTGGAAAAGTGTCTGCAGCGTATCCCCCAAGCAGCTGGCCGTGCCTGGGCTCCAGTCACCACTTACTGCCACTCACTTAACCCTCTGGAGAACACAGCTGAGGCCAGCCCTCAGGGCTACCCCCGCTCCAAGAAGAGGCGTGTTGAAGGTAGAGTGTGAGTGAGTGAGTGAGTGTGTGTGTGTGAATGTGTGTGTGTGTGTGTTTTGCACTTGAGAGAATACCAGAGGGGGCAGCCAGACAAAGGCCATGAGGAGTGGCTGACGTGGTTAAGGAACAAACAGCAAAGGGGGCCAGTGTGGCCATACACAGGCCTGAAGGAGAATGTATAGGATGGGGCCAAAAAGGTAACAGGAGCCCAGAGTATTTACAGACTACAGCTTCTACTCTGAATGAAAGGAGAAAACAGCATTTTGAGCCTTGTTTTAAAAAGAGCCTGTGGCTGATATACTTAGAATTGACGGAGATAGAAGCAAGGAAGCCAGTGCGGAGGCTCTGTTAGGTCTCTCGTGGGAGAAATATCTCTGCCCTTTGCTTCGTGTGAAAAAGAATTCACGCCAAAGTCTGGTTTGTGATCCAAGTGAATTTTTTAATAAAAGATAGAACCAGTTTCAGGCATTAGAGTAAATAGAACACAAGCCTGAAAGAGTCAGGCACAGCTGCGCGGGACTGTGGCCTGGCCGTGTCAGAGCCGCTGGGATAGAGCGTGGGTAGTCTCAAATTTCTGGCTTTTTCAGGCGCACTCCCCCCCCCCCCCTTGTGAGGTGTGGTCGACGGTACTGTTTGGCTCCATTGGCTGAATTAAGCCCAACTGGCCTAGATGGGGTCCCACCCAGGTGTACTGGCTTCCGGTCTCAAAGACCTGAATGTGTGCATGCCCTCTATCTTTAAGCAGTTTCCAACTTCCTGTAAGGGGGAGGGAGGCCTTGGCATGTAGAGGGACAACCCCTAGTGCTGCCTCTAGCTACCAGCCAGCTCTTGTAGGTGTTGGCAGTTGATAGTGGTTTCAAGTAAGGAGGCAGAGATGGTGAGAAGTATCCAAATGCTGATGTACTGAAAGGATTTTCTGGCAAACCGAGTGTAGCTGTAAGCCTCCCAGGGATTTTGGCTTGACCATTTCAAGGAGGGAGGAGTCATCTCAAAACCTGCTTTTCAATAAGATGACGACTAAGAATTGGATACCGGATTTGTATTATACAATAGAGGTGATCAGGGCAAAAGGCAAGCACACTTTAGGTTGCAGCCACAGTGTGGAGAGTATTTAAATGAAAGAAAAAATTTCATCTTCTGTACAGGATAGTAAACTTCATTTGGCTTTTGAACAGGGGTTAATACATTGAAAAGAGTAATTTAAGATTAATCTGGTGGCAAATTGAGAAGAAATCGAAAGTAAAATATGAGTTAATATTGTTTTCTGTCAGACTGTTCTCATCCGGGCCACAATAAATGGACCCTGAAATGATGAGAGAAAAATATGAACCAGAAGTTCAAATTACTAAAAACAAATAAACAGGAAACAGACCTATGGGACTGTTTGAGTCTGGAGGAGGACTCCCTGCGACGATTGCCCCGAGACACTCTTCAGACCTTCAGCTGAACACCCCTGAGGCCACCTGTAGCTAATAACAAATTGGTTCAAAGAACATGGGTATCACTTTAAGCAGTGTGTACCTTTAAAACCACCCAGACGAGATTAGGAAAGCAATGTGCACCTTTTCACTATCAAGGGCACAGAGGAAAGGGATTTTACACCTTTTCAAAGTACACTCTGTTGTTACAAACACAAGAAAGTTTGCACTCCAGCTTGTGAAAAAACATGCACACTTTTTCTCATTCAAGCAGGGTATATTAAGACAGTTTTATACATGTTATAAATTAGCATTTCCTTTTATTATAAGGAGAAATTTCTCAGTGCATCCCGGGAACGAGACCACAATATGCAATTTCTCCTTTTCAAGTGCATGAAGCCAAAAAGCGTGTCACGCCTGTGTTACGAGGAGAGGGAAATTCCCAGTACAGCCCTGAGTGAGAAAACAATGTACTATTTCTTTCATTCAAGAACACAGATTCAACACTTGCACCAATCTACACAGATACCATGAAAAATTCTTCTTTATTTTATGTAATTGAATGCAGGAAGCTGCACATTGTTTTCCCATTCACGGAATATACTATGGCGTTTCCCATGTTTGTAATGGGGGAAGTTCCGTTAAGAATGTGTGAAACTTGCCCGGACCTGGCTGAGCAGGAGGCGCCATCATGGGAGTTGACATCCGCCACAACAAGGACCGAAAGGTTCGTCGCAAGGAACCCAAGAGCCAGGACATCTACCTGCGCCTCCTGGTCAAGCTATACAGGTTTCTGGCCCGGCGGACCAACTCCACCTTCAACCAGGTTGTGCTGAAGAGACTGTTCATGAGCCGCACCACCCGGCCGCCCCTGTCGCTCTCTCTCGGATGATCCGGAAGATGAAGCTTCCTGGCCGAGAAAACAAGACAGCCGTGGTCATGGGGACCATAATGGATGACGTGCGGATGCAAGAGGTGCCCAAGCTGAAGGCGTGTGCCCTACGAGTGAGCAGCTGGGCCAGGAGCCGCATCCTCAAGGCTGGGGGCAAGATCCTCACCTTTGACCAGCTAGCCCTGGACTCCCCCAAGGGCTGTGGCACTGTCCTGCTGTCTGGTCCACGCAAGGGCCGCGAGGTATACAGGCATTTCGGCAAGGCACCAGGGACACCCCACAGTCACACCAAACCCTATGTTCACTCCAAGGGCCGGAAGTTCGAGCGAGCCAGAGGCCAATGTGCCAGCCGAGGCTACAAAAACTAACCCCAGATCCCGTTCTGTTATTAAAACATTTTGGATGTTCACTGCAAAAAAAAAAAAAAGAATGTGTGAAACTCTGACATTCCTAGGGCACAAAATCACCCAGATGAGACCACAAGTGGTCACGGGTTACTTTAAATCACAAACTAGAAGGTGAAAGGGCAGGGAAATGAATGAGGTTCTTGAAAACAGAATCAGAACAGAATACTGAGAACTTTGACACATTGTGAAGTGAACCACTGTCACTGGACAACTTGTGTCGAAAGTTTCGAATAGGAACTACAACAGCTCTGTGAACCTTCATCAAAAACACCGTAAAATAGTATTTTAAAGAAGAAGCTGACATCATAGTTTACAGTAATGTCTGATAATGAATACCGTGGCCAGGACGGAGTGGAAGGGCTGGTTGTACCTGGTCTTGAGAGAACTAATACGGTTACTAGTTAAATCGGGTGGAGTGGGAAGAAGGGACACTGGTATGGAGCATGAAGTACTGAAGTCTGGAAAGAAGCCAGTTTTCTAAAGGTAATCATAGTCCTTGACGAATCCATTCAAAGCAACACACGTATCCAAAGTGGAGATATCAAACAGTCTACTAAGACGAGGCTCTAAAATGCAGCCAGTTGTGCTCAGCCTTTTGTGGAAGTCACTCAGAGGAGAGCTAGGTGGTGAAACACAAAGCTGGCTAGCACCTTTCCACACCTGTCTCAGCCCTGAGCCCAAGCTCCCGAAGGTTAGTACTGGAGCACTGCCATCTGGTGGGAGCCCAGTTTTCACCTTGGGTGTGCCAACTCACAAGTATGGCTCTTCTCTGTTTTGCACGAGCCCGCAAACCAGTAACAACTCATTTTTAGGTTATTGTTTTTCATGTACAAAATGGCCACAAAGGAAGGGGAATGGGGGAATGCATATTTATAATCAACAGCATTAATACTACATTTGAAAATTGTACTACAAGTATTTTCTCAGACATCTGTGGATTCTCTCTCTTCTCTACTTTCTTGGCTCTCTGGAGAAGACCCGAAAAACAATCAAGTTGCTGGCCTTGTAGGGCAAGGTAGACCTGCCCTGTCGGGTTTCCTACTGTCGTCTTCATAGGAGCCGACTGCTACATTTTTCTCTGAGTTGCGGCTGGTGGGTTTAACCTTACCCGATGCTTAAGCGCTGGTGCCAGCAGGGCTCTGGGCTCTGGAGGACAGAGAAGTTCTTAAGCACTTGGAGCAGCAGCTCCTCCACTGAACTCGTCACATCAAGAGTTAGAGACATTGCAATCACCTTTAGATTTACTTTTCTGGAAGGCAGCTGTGCTCACCACTATACCACCAGTGCTACACTCTCATTTTTCTGTTCCTCCTTGTCCCTCAACTTTCCACCTTAACTTTTGGATACAAAACTGTATTGAAACTTGAAGCTTTTTCTCACCGGGAATCACTTCAGTGGATAGACTTACCATATATACTCGTGTATAAGCCGAGTTTTTCAGCACATTTTTAATTTAGTTTTTGCGGTTAAATTAGGCGCCTCGACTGATATTCGGGTTGGCTTATACTTGAGTATATACGGTACATGTTTTCCTTGATGAACTCAGATCAAGATCCCTTCCTACATCTCAATCTTCGGGAATCCACTGTTTGTCTTGAAATATGTTTATATCGCTTTCCTTCCCGCCCCCCCCCCCCCCCCCCAAGCTGTATAGTAAACTTCTTCTCCAAGGCTTAGATGATGATTCTGTAAGCCTTTTATAGCACAAAGGGCATTGCTTTAGCTTTCTCTCACTTTTGAATCATCACAGAATGAAGTCATAGAGATTTTTAGTTCTTTCTTAATGTTCCCTTAAACCCTGGAAGCTCTTTTAACAAAAGAAATATCTTGTCTGCAGTTAACGTGCACATCTTGTTCTCTGCAGGCCGCTCCAGGCTCAAAGGAGATGACGCCTTTCCCATCCAAGAAGAAAGCCTACAGCTAAACAGCGTTCTACCCACGCCCACCCTCACCTCCACAGCCGTGAAGAGCAAGCAGCCCCTAGAGGGCTTAGAAGAAGTAGAAGAGCAGGGCTCAAGATCGGAGCGCATCCAAGGGTGAGGGCCAAGGAAATAACAGGATCTCTGATTCCCCAGTTCAGTGTCTTATCATTGCACCTTTCCATTTTGGCCCTGCTGCCCTACTATAGCATTCTCTCCCATTCACTAGTTTTCCTTGATCCTTTTCTTTCAAAGTTAAGGTTTCTTTCTCTCCACCCTAAGCTTGCCATCACTCATCCGTCAGTTTGTTGTATTCTGGTGGCATATATGTTGTAATGCTGGAAGCTGTGTCACCGGTATTTCAAATACCAGCAAGGTCACTTGTGGTGAACAGGTTTCAGCAGAGCTTCCAGACTAAACCTGGGCAAAAGGAATAGTCTGTCCATTTAAAAGGTATTTGCCACTGGAAATTTTCTAACTAGCAACAGAACGTTATCTGATACAGTTCCCCATTAACCCCAGAAAGTTATATAAGACACCAAGACAGGAGAAGAGCTACCCTCCTCAAAGTAGAGTTGACCTTGATGTGGATGGGTGAAATAAAGCTCTACAGACCTTCCTTGGCTGATTGGGCCTGACTCAAAACAAGAAACAGGTTGTAAACATCCAGTGATAATCAGAATGTAAGATGTCCAATGGATGAGTGTGAGAAGATTGGAAGTTGTAGAAAATAGAATGCATAAAGATTAATAACCTAGGCATTAATGAGCTAAAATGGACTAGTTTGGTCATTTTGAGTGTTGGACAATCATGTTTTACTATGACCAAAAAAACAAACTCGCTGCCATCGAGTCAATGCTGACCCAGGACCCCCTGGGAGCTTCTGAGACTATCACTGTTTACAGGAGAAAGCCCAGTCTTCCACAAAGCTGCTGGTGGTTTTAAACTGCCTACCAATCAGACTGAAACCCAACCAATAGCCACTACACAAGGGCTTCTTTTTCACTCTGATGGAATCACGACTTCAAGGTGAATGGCATCACATTCATCACAGAAAGAACACGTGAAGCTGTATCTTGAAGTCCAAGGCTATGATAGGTTAATATCTGTATGCCTACAAAGAAGTCCAGGTAAGAAAACATTATTCAAATCTATGCAATAATCACTAAAGCTAGTGATGAAGAAAGTGAAGAATCCTACCAACGTCTTCAGCCTGGACAACTGACCTCGGGACAGAAATGATGCCAGAGATTGCATGAGGAGTTCTGCAAGACCAACGACTTACTCATTGGAAACACCTTTTTTCCCCAACAACTTAAATGGTTACTGAGTTACTATACTCAATTAATATGACTCTCCAGCCATAATCCTTTATGTGATATGTTCTAATTCTACACTTCATAATCCTTGTAGCTGGATTCTCATTTTGGAGAGCATTATCTGATGAGATGAAGATCTGACTTAATAGAGGGTGTGAATCAGACCAGAATGGGCATCCTGGTTGCTGTTCCTGACAATGGATCCTAAGCTACAGCTGAGAGGAGAAAGAGAACTTTTAGGGAGTGGCCTAGGGAAAAGCCAGACTGATTAAGATTAGTGGGAGGTCAGTGTCTACTGGAAACCATGCCAGAGGTCCCAGGTCATAAATAAGATATAGTCCAGGAGGTGGAGAATAGCTTATTATAGTTGGGTGAACCCTCATCAGTCTTTCCCTGCATGCATGGGTCTCGTAAGAAGGCCAGGGAAGGTACTTATAGGATTTGCCTGTGAGTAATTTTGAGCAAGATTCCCTGCACTGCCCTCCTGCTACATATATAAAATGAGCCTCCTGAGAAGCAGGGGTGTGATCTCATCACTGGCAAAAGCCAGGAGCGGAGTTGGTCCTTTCACTCCAGCACCTGACTCACCCCTGCCTTACCTCAGGTTTTGTACTGCACTGCACCCACCGTTTCTTGTTGAACTTCCGTGAGTTCTGTGGAATGCTGCACCAACCCGCAGAACCTAGAGATGTGAGGGAGAGTACTCAAGGGAGGAGTCGAGGGAAATAGAGCAGATGATCATCTTGCAAATGGACTTTGGAGACTTTTTCCGTCTTTACCTCCTCGGGACGTGTTTGGTGTTTTTGCAAAAGAAATTTTTTACCACAATGACTATATATGTGGGCCTTGCCAGATAGATGGAATACAAAAAAGTCAGATTGACTACAACTATGCAGAAAAACTATGTGGATCATAAAGAACTATGGATAGCCTTAAAAAGCATGGGAATTCCAGAACACTTCATTGGATCTGTACATTGTTCAAGAGACAGTTGTGTGAACAGAATAAAGGAATATTGCCTGGTTTAAAGTCAGGAAAGACATATGTCAGGGTTGTATCTTCTCACCGTACTTGTTCAGTCCGTATGTTGAACAAATGATCAGAGAAACTCAAATTACCATATATACTCCAGTTTAAGCCGACCCAAATATTTGCCGAGGCATCTAATTTTACCACAAAAACTGCATTAAAAATGTACTGAAAAACTCAGGTTATACTCAAGTATATCCATGGGTCCTCAAACTTTTTAAACAGGGTACTAGTTCACTGTCCCTCAGACCTGTTGGAGGGCCAGACTATAGTTAAAAAAAATTATGAACAAATTCCTATGCACACTGCACATACCTTATTTTGAAGTAAAAAAGCAAATGGGGCAAAAAACACCCGGCAGGCCGGATAAATGTCCTTGGCGGGCCACAGTTTGAGGATGCCTGATACACGGTACATGTAGAAGAATGCTACATCAGAATGGAGGAAGGCTTATGAACAACCTGCAGTCTGCAGATTGCCTTGCTTGCTGAAATCAAGGAGAACTGGAAGCACTTGTTGGTGGAAAAGCAAAGACTAGTATGGATTATAACTCAATGTAAATAAAACCCAAATCCTCACAATTAGACCAATAGACATCTTGGTAAACAGAGAAAAGACTGAAGTTGTCAAGAATTTTGTCTTGCTCGGGAAGCCACTGCATAACACCTCCTCAAAGTGTTAAAAGAGGTAGCTGTCACTTTGAGGACTAAAATGTATCCAACTCAAGTGCCTTATATCCACGGGGAAGCTGGACACTGAATAAGGAAGACCGCGGACGAATGGATGCCTTCAAATAATGGTGTTGGTAAAGATTACTGAAAATACTATAGGCTGCCAGAAGAACAAACCAATCTGTCTTCAAAGAAAAACAGCCCAAATGCCCCCTGAAAACCAGCATGATGAGAGTGCTGGGTGTATTATCAGAAGAGGCCAGCTCCTGGGAAAGAGCACCCTGCCTGGTCAGGGGTCAGCGACAGCAAGGAAACCCTGGCTGCAGCGGTGGGCTCGAACAGAGCAGGGATGTGGGTGGTGCAGGACGCGGCAGCGTGGGGTTCTGTTGCACACGGGGCTGCTAGGACTCCGAATGGACCTGACATCATCTTAACACCTCTGAGCTTTCCTCCGCGTATGCACTGACCACTTTAGCTCTTTCAACCCCTTGCTCATTCCCTGTCACTGATCTCACTTCATTGTCAACAGCCCCCACTTTTCAGACACCGAGAAGCTGGTGTTTGCACGGGCACAGCGTTTCCGCACTCCACACGACTCTTCCGGCCCTGGTCTAGGCGCTCGACTGACGCGGTGAGCTTTCCTGTCGTCTAGCTTCATGCTGCCATGAGGGAATTCTCCCCTTATCCAGTACATCTATGCTAGTGATTGTGGGGGCTTGTTCTAATCACAGAACACTCACTCTATTTCTAGATTTAGGTGGGACCGTGGTGTGTATATAGGGGTACAAGTAGAGAGAGCTGCTGTAGTTAAACACGAGTGAGGTGCCGCGAGGAGCTCTCAGGAATCTTGAAAGCATTGTTTGAAACGCTCTGCTCTTGCTACTGACATCAGACTCAGCCTGATGGAAGAGGAGGAAGACGACGACGAAGAAGAAGGAGGGCTAGTGATTGAAGAGGACTCAAGTGAAGAATGGCAAGACACAGATAAGGTGAGAAGGCCCCGCCTCCCTCTTCCTCCTCCTCGAGTGGGATGCATGTAAGACAAAGAAGGTACACCGAGTCTTCTGGCAGTCTGGGGCTGCCCTGGTGTCCAAAAGCCGCTAGGTTTTTTTTGTTTGTTTGTTTTTTGTTTTACGAATCCGAGTAAAGGAGAGATGTTTATAAGTTGCGTTGAACTTTGCTAAAAGAGCATTGTTACCTCTCTCTAAGCTCCTGAGATTGGGAGGTTGAAAGTCACCTCACCCTCCATTGCAGATGGTTCAGTCAGTTTCTTCATTTCATGCAAACACACATTCTCCCCTTGCCTCCTTGCTTCCCCTGGCAGAAGTGCCACCCAATTTGGTACAAAGCATAGAATTTGGATTTAACCAGTTGTTAGCTTTGTCAAGTTAGCGACTTAATGCTACTTGACTTCCATTTCATCATACACAGGGACTTAAGAAAGCTAAGGAAAAATAGAATTTAGAGATAATGGAACCTTTCCATGAAAATGTTGAAGCCCCCTTATATGTGAAATGGAGCTTTGGATACAAAATAGTACAAGGGAAAGCACCTTACAAACTGAGACACCAAAAAAACCAAACTCACTGCCATCAAGGCAGTTCTGACTCAGCGACCCTGCAGGGCAGAGTAGAACTGTCCAGGCGTGTTTCTGAGACTGTCACTGGGAGAGTCTCCATGAATGTCAGTGGGTACTGTTGTTATTCACCTGCTCCCTGCTCCTCGTTTGAGAGGGAGGGTGGAACAGGGCAGGGGAATGGAGCGCTTGTGCTCAGAAGGAAACGACTAAACAATGACATGTTCAAACCAGGCCTCCTGAAATATCCTTTCCTAAACTTCTCATTTGCTACTAATGACAACAACAGCTCATTAAAGGGGCTTGGTCTGGGCAGAACAAGAGAAAAGGTTAACTTCTGTAAACCTGAGAGGCTGTAGCTGGTCCTTGCTCCCTGCCTGTGCTGCAGGTACCTGCCGTGGCCCTCTCCTGTTGTAATCATGAGGGTGAAAGGGGAGTTTAGGTAATGTTTTGGATGCAATGGGAGTGGAAAAAGACCTTTCTGGCATTTTATCCCATTCTGTGTAGCAACCAAGTAACTACTCTTCCCCTGGTAAACACCAGCTGGACCTCTTAGATTCCACGGAGCTGAATATTGAGGCAAGTATCAAAACATTGTGGAAGGCGTGTCACAAGGGGCTGTATACCATTGGGAAGTGTTGGCAGGCAACTCGAGAGAGCTGGCAATCAGCAGCAGGGCTGGGGGCGGCGGGAGAAATGGTCATCTGGAGGACCACACCGTCTTCTGTCTGCCATTAGTCTGTGGGTCGTGTCTGTATGTTTTCTTCCCGTCTTTCCCATTACAGGATTTCTGACACGAGTTTGTGCCCCTGCCCACCTCTACTCTCCACCCCACTGCCATGACCACTTGGAAAAGGCAAATGTGAAAGCAGCACAACGAACCATTCCTTCTCGATCCCGACCGTTCTCTGATGGCCTCAGAGAAGCCTTGGCAGCCCTCACCCTTCCTCCTGCAGCGTGGCCTTGACCCAGCAGAGTAACCATTTCCCGCTGTTTGGGAGTATTGTGGGTGGGGGGTTTACCTCAGTGTGTAGAGAGGGACACTGACTCCATGTGCTTAATGAAGAAACCATAGTTTTTTAATACTTTTGGAATATCTTTCCCAGCCTTTTTTGTGCCCTAATTGACTATCTCAATAAACACGTTTGACTCACCTGGTTCCCAGTAACTGAGATTGTTAAGACGATAGAGGTCAAGTTCTTTGTCTGCTGACCCAGTGTACAGATACTCTCCCCACAGAACTTCTGTGTACAGGCTGTAAAGGACATATGCTTAGAAATTGGGAGAGTTTGAGTGAAGCAGAGGAGTTAGGGAGAGATGGGCTGCACTTAAATAGTTTATTTAGTTGTGCCAGTTTAGGCCCAAGTGAGGGAAGGCACTTGTGGGATAGGTAGGAGCATGGAGGAGGCAACTTACAAAGTACATGCCTTACTGTGTTTAGGCCAGGCCAATCTATGCCTCATCTCAAAGATCTTGTCATATTAATAATTCATAGAACTAGACGATCTGTAGGTTAGGGGGAAACGTAGAAGTTGTACTAAATGTCCAAACCCAAATCTTTGACACCTACTTCTTTTTTTAAATCATTTTATTGGGGGCTCACACAGCTCTTACCACAATACATGCATGCATCCATTGTGTCAAGCACATTTGTACATTTATTGCCATCTTAATCTTTGCCTTCCTCCATCTAACTCGTCACAAAGTCAAGTTGTCCCCAGGACGTCTCCCTTAACTAAGTTTTAGCCTCTGGTTGTCACCGTTCTATTCCTAGCCACCTCGGAAATCAGCCACCTGCACACAGTCAGTCGCTTTTGCTTGTTAGGCGTCATGGAGCAGCCGCAGGTACCTCTGCCTTTTCTCCCTGACAAGCATCCATCTGCAGGAGAACAGCTGTCAGTGTCCGCTGTCCTGGCTTTCGTCTGCAGTTGAGCCTCTCAGCCTCTGTTAGGTATGACTCCCAGCTCGCCCCAACGTGGGTCTGTGTTCCTCACAGTTTCTCGCTGTGCTCTCACAGGCTGAGCACCCATCCAGCTCAGGCTGCACAGAAGGGACCGCTGCTTCCTGTGATCAGCTCACCGTGCCATCTCAACCCTATCACCTTCGTCTACGCCAGTCAGCCAAAGCTAGTGCTTCCTTCTCCTCTGCTTTCCCTCCCACCCGGTGCCACTTTCCTACCTCCCGATCAGAGCCGAGTTGGGTTTGTGAATCTCTTTGTGGGGAACTCCGATCACCATTGCCATCGGAAGTGCCAAGCAGATGAGCGCTCTTTATCCTTTGACACCCCAGAGAGAAGCAGCCTTGTTCATGGGATCTGAGAACAGAGTGGACATTTTTAGAAGTAATTTAAGAAGGAAACGAAAGATCCAGGATGAGAAAGATACCAAGTTAAATATCAACCAATTAAAAATCAAAATGGAAACTTAGAGGCATTGTGTAAATGTGGCTATCTTGCGGAAAGCCAGGCACCCCAGTGTGATGGATCAGGCTCTCACCTGAAAACCTTCTTCTCCAAATTATTTGACACTCTTGTTATGAGGTTGCGTCTCCCTTGAACCTGGACTATGTGTTTTACCATTGGAATGTGGTGGGCATGATGATTTGCCAGTTTTCTTCTGACACCTACTCCCTAAACTCACTGCCATGAGCCAATTCTGACTCAGAGGGACCCCTATAGGGCAGAGTAGGATAGCCCTTGTGGGTTTATAAGACAACTTTTTATGGGAGTAGAAAACTTCCTTTCTCCTGTGGAGCTGGCTGGCTGGTTTTGAACTGCTGACCCTGCGGTTAGAGACCCAATGCATAACCACTATGCCACCAGTGTACCCATCATTATAGCTACTCAAAACCAAACTCACTGCCATTGAGTCAATGCTGACTCAGCGACACACACACACACCCACCCCCCACCATGGGTTTCCGAGACTGTTTACGGGGTAGAAAGCCTAGTCTTTCTCTGGAGTAGCTACTGGTGGTTTCAAACTGCTGCCATGTGGGTCATAACCCAATGTGTAACCACTACGCCCCAGGGCTTAGGTGCTGGCAGATGGAAGGTCAGCAGGTGAGATGGCAATCTGCTGGCTACAGAGGGGAATGAACCCAAGGTTGGCAGGTAAGAAAACAGGTGGCTCCCTCACAGGCTGCAGAGGTTAACCGAGATACAGCAGAGGACTGGAGGTAGATGATGGTGCGGCAGACGCAGTGTTCAGAACCAGCAAAACAGCAAGAGCTTTGTCGGAACATCTGCATACATTGGCAACAGACCACACCCCCTGAAGGAATTCTCTCAACATGGCGGTGATCACGTTACATCAGATCTCATTATGAGGGACGACTACATCATAACAGCCAAACCTCTGAGAATCATGGCCTAGCCAAGTTGACACACAGCCTTACCCAGCAGACTATCCCTTTTCGACGTGGCACAGTGGACACATCTTAAACCATGTGTTTGTCTCTAAATAAAGACAAATAGAAAGTCACAGCTTCACCTAGCGTGAGGAGATCACAAATGTACGAGCAAACATGCCTAGGCGTCATTTACATCTTAGGTTCATAAGTGAAGAAAACAAATATTTGACAGGAGAAATGCTTAAAGGTAACAATCTTTGTTTTTCTAAGCTGGGCATGCATGTCATCATGAGTATAAGTCAACCATTTCCCACCACTCCTTCCCTCTCTTGTTCTCATACTGTCAGGTCTTTTGCCTGCTAGAGCAGCTGAGCCCTCCATCTCATAGGGGAGGGCAGCCACTTGCATTGCCCCCCCTCCCCCGCCCTGCTTCTGGGACCTGTCAGTCGTGGCTGTTGGAAACAGCACTGTATATTGGATGCTAGTTTAGAGGACCTACAACTTCCCGAAGAACATTTCTCCAACCCTGCCATGTACTACCACCTAGGCAGTGCCTTATTGTTATTTAAAAGACCATTCAGCAGTTGATGGAAGATATGAAAATTATCACTTATCAAGTGGTCATGAGCGGGGGAGGTTGAGAGGGAGGGTAAAAAGAGGAGCTGATAACCAAGGGCTCAAATAGAATGTAAATGTTTAGAAAATAATGATGGCAACATGTGCAAATAGGCTTGATACAATTGATGTTTGGGTTGTTCTAAGAGCTGTAAGAGCCCCCAAGAAAATGATCTTTAACAAAAAATAAAACATTTCATTGGTGGGAAACATAACCCTGGGCTCATTGTCACATTTCATTTGCTATGAAGTGAGCCCCTTGATCCAGGGTAATGCTGCATAGGGTATGTACTAATGGATAAGATATTCCTCAAGTCTATAAATGGTAGATAGGGCAAAAAGCATGGGATTCAGGGAAGGCAAATCAGTATCCGAGTGTACTCCAGTAAGATCAAAACAATGGCCTGGCACTGATGGAACTGCCCCAGCGTAATAAACCTGCCAATCACCCTACAGAATGAGTCCAGACTGCAGACTCGCCGGGGGTATCCATCACACCCAAGGGCCTCCAATTCCAGGGCCAGAGCAGCAGTGAAGTAAGCCCAGCTCCCTCCTTGCTGGTTCTTCATTCTGTGGTGGAGGTCCAAAGCTGTCCACCCATCGCTCAGAGGTAGACAAGACTAAGATCAGTCTAATATATGGGCAGTGCAGCTGGGCAAGCTCCTGGAGAGACTTAGGAGAAACACTAGTCAGATTTGGTGATTGGATTGATGTAGGAGTGAGGAGGTGAGAATAAGTCCCGTGTTTTCAGTTGAAGGTAAACATGGGGAGCCAATAACAAATACAAGAGGGGAGGAAATGTTCTGAAACTAATTGTAGTGATGATTATACAACACTTAACATGACTGAACGATGGAAGTCAATGATATATGAACCATATGTAAATATATATTAGGGGGTACCAAAAAAAACTGGAATTTTTTTTCAAAGCTATGTATTAAATGTTGTATACAAAACAACCTTATCATCTTCAAAGGATTATACATTACACCTAATACATTTGTCAAAGCTGCGATTCCATTCTTGGAACCACTTTTCAAACTCATCTCTTATTGGATGGCTGACAGCTCATCCCTCGTTTTTTTGTCACCTCTTCTACATTGTCAAATTGGCTGTCCTTTCATGTCCCTCTTCATTCGAGGAAACAGAAGTCATGGAGTGAGGTCAGGTGAGGAAGGTACATGGGACAAGAAAGGCATGCTGTTTTTTGAAAAAAACTGGCACACCGAGTTGGTTGCGTGAGTGGCAAAACCAGTCTCCTGTCTGCCAAAAAACGCCTTTTTTGGTTGCACAATATTTTCAGAACCTCTAAATAGAAAACTTGATTAACAGTTTCACCTGGTGGAACAAATTCCAAATGCACTACAAGTTGACATTTATATCCATTGGGGAAGTTGGTGGATGTCCAGAACAAGGTTTGTCATCAGTTGATTTTTCACCTTTTCTTGAACTGAGAAAACCACTCACACCCTTGGGGTTTTTCCCATAGTGCTGTCCTGGGCAAGCAGTGTTCAATATCACAACAGTTTCTGCCATATTTTTCTGAAGCAAGAAACAAAATTTCACAGCCGCACACTGTTCTCTTAAATAAGACATCACAAAAAACGAGGTTAAAGCAAACCTGGTTTTAAGAAAAAATTCATTGTGACCATAGAGAATCTTCCCAGGCAATGCCACTGGGTGCACTATCTCAGAGGGAGTTGCTTGATGCTTGCTTAGAGGGGGCAAAATGCGTACTACAAAAGTTCTGCTCTGCCCAGTGCAATTCTGTTTTTAGGGGGGTGGGGTTCCCCTCATGTTTATACAGGCTTGAATAACCAGAAAGAAAATAGGTTATCCAGGAACATGACTTCAATGGGGTCAAAGAACTGATATAGTGGGAGAATGACAGAAGCTGGCTGGAAGGAAGGAAAATCTGAAAATGATAACTAACATCTACTATTTCAGAATTCTCAGTCACAGTGATTTAAAAAAAAAAAATCCAGTGTATGGATGAGTGGAGTGGAGGTGAAAGTCATAGAAGCTGGGGGAAGTGGCAAGTCCAGTGTGTTCAGAATGGGCTCACAGATGATTGAAACCTCCCAGGATGCTATTGGATGGAGGGGAAATCTGTGAACCAGGGGCCAGTCTCCTTGCAGAAGGTTAAAGAGCCACCTTACAGGATTGATGGAACGGAGGGTGGTGGAGGTAGACAGCAGAGGGCTCAGTGGAAGAAGGATGACCCCAGAAGTGCGAAATGAATAGCTGGCTGTGGTACTAGAAGTCTAAATGACTGCAAACACCACACCAAGCCTCAGAGTGCAAAAGAAGCTATGTCCTGTTTTTGTTAGGAAGAGGAGAAAAGGGATCAGAGGAGGGGATGCTCAGTACCAGAGGGGTCGGTTTGAGAGGGAAGAGCAGAATGGGCATTCAAGGAAGAAGGGGGAAAAAGAGGAAGAGGTTGGGAGAGAGGCTAGCGATGAGGGGTGGAGAGATGGGGCAGACAGAAAGGAGCTGGTGTTAGGATTGGCTGTAAAAGACAATAAGGACACAGACATGGGTGGCTAGCTTGGGCACCAGCTCTGAGTCCCATGCTTGTTTTAACGGAGCTGCTCGGTCCTCTGGGAGGACTGCCTTGCAGAGCACACAGCAGAGATAATAAGCAGGACTGAGAATGTTGGCCTCCCTGGATGTCCAGCCACACTGCTCTCTTTTGGTCCTGACAAGTTGTCAGATGAAAACCCAAACCCCTGCCAGGTGAGTGCTTATCTTCCCACGAAGAGACCACTCATTTGGGTAGCTGGATGTTTCCTTTTGAGAATCACACAGCATGAGCTATTCTGAGAAGGAAACTTCTTGTTCAGAAACATCACAGCCCCTCTCATCTTCCAAGTCTCCCAGTCTGTGTCCTCATTTGAAGCCAAACGCTTGACTTCCTGAAGTGCCAGCTCCCAAGTCTGCAAAAGGAGGACCAAAGGTGGATGTAGGGGTTCCAGCATTCACTTGCTGATTCTCTTTCCTGTCACATCTCCCCTGGTTCTTAAATCTCCCCTCCTCCTGCTCCCCTCCCCATTTCTAAGCTTTGCCTTCTGTCCATCTTGTGATCTCGCATCTTTGAACACCATCCTTCTTTAACACATCTCTCGTTCCCTGATCTTTGGGCAATTTTTCCTTTTGCCTGGTGAAGAACAAGAAAAGGCCCCAAGCATTCCTCCGCCTTGCTCCTTTCCGGGCCTCTTTCACACCCTAGCCTCAGCCTCTCTCAGTGCACTCCCTCTTGAATCTCAAACCTCCCTTGGTCTTCTGTGGCAGCCCCCCTCCCTCCTCTCTCTCCCTGCCTCTTTTGCCAGGTGCTCTTCCTAAAGTTTCTGTCCCAAAATGCCTCCTCCAAGGACCAAGGCACCTGCCTAGAAGACATGAAATGAGTTTCTCTCTCCCAGTTTTAGCCAAGGCAAAGCCGAGAGAGAGAACAGGAGCTAGTCATACCTGTTCCTTCTCTCTGATAAAAGAGAACTTCCTTAGAACCATCCACCTTCAGCCAGCGCTTGGAGACCCCTGCCAGGTGACACCACAACTGAGGTTCTCTCCAGGCAGCCTCCTCCTCTATGAGCCTAAAGGCGCCTCTGGGTATCAGGGCAGGTTGGAGAGCACCCCTGCCCGCAAAGAGGAGCCCGAGTTATCTGTAAACGCCACTGCTCGGCTTCCAGTAGATGTCCGACCCTCTTGTTCCCACACAGGGTGCCCTTCCAAAACACTGAGGAGGAACAGGAGAATATTGAGAATAAAGATAAGCCCTTACCCAAGATATGACAAAATAACAATTTATAAATTATCAAGGGCTCATGAGGGAGTGGGGAGCGGGGAGGGAGGGAAAAATGAGGACCTAATGCTGGGGGTTTAAGTGGAGAGGAAATGTTTTGAGAACGATGAGGGCAATGAATGTACAAATACGATTTACACATTGATGTATGGATTGTGATAAGAGTTGTATGAGGCCCTAATAAAATGATTTAAAAAAAAAAGATAAGCCCTACCATGGCCCGTTCCTAATTTCCACCCCTAACCCTTCCTATTCTCCAAACACTCCCTGCATTCACATAGGCAATGCCTCCTTGGTATTCGGCTCTTTCCCATCTCTCTCTAGCCATCTCAAATGACTTCTGACCCTGACTTCATGGAAAACCTTACTACTGAAACCCTGTGCCCATTTCTCTACACCCACCTGACTGCATCACACCTTGACTTTTCAGGACGGATACAGACCCAAGTGGGACCACAAGGTAAACAGCTCAGACAAGGACCTGACAGAATTTAAAAAGCAGGGCAGGAGGAGGAGGAAGGTACCTGGGTTATTGGGTCTCTGGCTTAAGATGGGGACAGCTCTCTCCCCATGCCTTTCTTTTTGGGGACTTTCCCAGGATGACGGTATCTTCTGTGCCTCTCTTACTCGCCCCCTGCAAACCTCCCCAGGAGAGCCCCAGGCCCAAACACCTCACTGCCATCAATTCTCACAGCCACCCAAAGGACAGGATAAAACTGCCTCGGTGGGTTTGAGGCTTTGAATCTTCACGGGAGCAGGTTTCATCTTCATCCTTGAAGTACGTAGTTAGTAGGTTTGACCTGCTGGTCTTACAGTTAACAGCCCAACACATAACCCACTCTGCCACCAGGGGTCCACCTCGAGATCTAATGAGTACGATGGCACTCTTCACCTGAACACAAGAGTGAATGAAACCTCCTTAGACAGATCACATCCTCGCCTCCAATAGCCAGGACCGGACACAGAGAGTGAGGTGAACACCAGGGGACAGAAAAAGAAAGCAGTGTACAGCACTCCCTTCAATTTCCCCTCACACACAAAAATAAAAGTATCCTGAGAATTAGTCTAAGGAGAAAAGTGATGTTACCTTTGACTTCTGTCCCACCTAACAGAAAAAACAACAACACTGTGATAGACAACACACCCAAGACCCCTCCTCTAGTATTCTTTTTTAGCGATGACTGCCTCAGGCCAGAGAATAAATTCCAAACACTGGTAGCCAGTCTAGAACCAAGGTGTGTACCCCCAATCTAACCATCCTATTCCTTAAATATAGTAACTAGCATATTTGGAAGGAGCTCTGGTGGCATAGTGGTTACGTATTGGGCTGCTCACCGCAATGTCAGAAGTTCAAAACCACCAGTCACTCTGCAGGAGACAAAACTTTCTATGTCCATATAGTCTCAGATACCCACAAGGGCATTTCTACTCTGTCCTATAGGGTTGCTATCAGTTGGAATCAACTCCTTGGCAGTGAACTTGTTTGAACATATATGGTGTTAGGTGTCTTACATGTACAACCTCACTTAAACATTTCAACAACCTTTTAAGGTTTATGATGTACTCATTTTCAGAAATGAAAACTAAGAAACAGAATGGTTAAAGTGATTCCCTAATGGTAGTTGAGTTTGGATTAAGAGCAGACCCAGGATTTGAGCCCATAATAGTCTTCCTATTAAATAGAGTTCAAGGTGTCCCTGCCTTCCTCTACTTCTACATTGTGTAGGCAGGTCTCCCACTAAAAACAATGGCATGTCACAGTAACTCTGAAGAGGAAAAGAAGCAAAAAAGAAGAATATGGTTAGAGAGAAATGAGGCTAATTAAAGCAGTAATTATTTTATTCATGTATAAAATCATACAACTCTAGCTTTAACCTGTAGCTAACTAATAGCCATAAACTTCTAGGGGTTCCCACTGCAGGGCTCTTCCTCCTGCACCCCAGAAAGAAAGAAAGCTTGCTCAATTACTCCTCAATAAAGCCATGGGGAGGCCCTCTTCTTCTCGGAGCTGTGACGCCTCTCTTGGCTCAGGCTCATTTGCTATGTCTTCCAGGAGTTGTTCCAGGTCCAGGTCACTGGAAGCTTCGTCTTCAGTGGGGATACTTGCAGCCCCCTGATGCCTCGGTTCCTGGGGCCCGGGCCCTTCTTCCTTCACCATGAGAGAGGGCCCCTGATGGGTGGGTGGGGTAAGGCTCCCTGGCACCATCTTGGCTTTTCTTCCCTTAGACAAGCCAGTTACCACAGGCTTGCTTTGGGGAGATTTGAACTTTTTCCGAGGGTCTGTAGGAAAAAGTAATAAAGTTGAGAGTCCTATTAGACTAGTCTATCCTTACCTGTACACAAGTGAAGCTCCAAAATTCTATTTCCAAGAAATCTCTAGAAAAGTTGAACAATTTAATAGAAAGAACATGGGCTTTTGGGTTAGAAAGACCTGGATTCAAGTTATGGATTAATAGGGAAAGTTCAGTTTCCCGATCAGTAAAATGGCAAATTCCCAGTCAGAAACAGTAAAAGAATTCAAGGAAATGTGTGTATAAGTATCTATCTTGGCCACAGGATTCTTCTTAGTTTTTGTCCCCCTATCCCTCTTAGTCCAGTCAATTCTATTAAGTTATAGTATGTTCGGTGTATTATAGTCTGAGAGATACTTTAAATGTTTTTTTAAATCATTTTATTGGGGGCTTGTACAGCTCTTATCACAATCCATCCACTGTGTCAAGCACATTTTTACATTTGTCGCCATCATTTTCAAAACATTTTCTTTCTACTTGAACCCTTGGTATCAGCTCATTTTACTCCCTCCCTCCCCCATGAACCCTTGAAAATTGCTTTAAATGTTTTCTTGTTTCTTTAAAATACTAGAAGTTTAAAAATGTTTTAAAATGGTTGAAGGACATGAACCCTGTCTTCTTCCTAGTTCTTCCCAGGTCTGAGCCTTACCTGACTGGTGAGAATCTGAGTTCCCTTGATCTCCTTTCTTTGCCATTATGAGCACAGGAGGAGCTGCAGATTCAGTTCTCAGACATCTCTTTGTCTTCTTTGGCAGGGTCCCAGTTTGTCCATCTACTGGGCCTGTATTACCACCCTGCAACCCTACCATGAAGGAAATTGGTTTATTTTTCTCTAAAACAACTTGGCAATGGGCTCCCTGTATCTAGTCTCCACCTTCCCTCGCATCTTCTCTATCTAGTGAATTCTTTTGACAACCATGGTTTTCTCCTTAGTTCTTTCTTGCTTTATATTTCTCCTCAGAGGCTACCTTCTCCAGGAAGTCATCCTTCTTGACTAAGAATTGAAAACATCCCATCTCCAACCTAAGATTTTTAAAACTTAATACCCAATAGTGAAGCACTAGTTCCCTGGGAGAAACTGGTGGTTAGCTTTGCCTGGTTGCTCCAGTTATAGACCTGAGATAGTCAAGAGGGTCAGGCTATGTGATTCACTGTTTTACATTCACTGCTTTTGCCCTGCTAAACTGTGGATAGGGCCTCCTTCCAGCTGGCTTGCTAACCTCTTAGCTTGGATTTTTTGGTCTGTGTTTTAGCTGGCTTGGGATCAGGTAGAGTTGGGTCCTGGGGAAAAGAGACAAAGAAAAAATTAATAAATTAAGTCAAATAGTTGCATTTTTAAGAGTGTGATGCTACAGAATGAGTGGATTTAGAGGAGTCAAATTGGGTTTGGTAAGTCTAATATTGTTTAAAGCAATGACAATAACAACAACAACACGAGTGATCATCTTTCCCTTATATTTAGTAGTAATGATGTAAGGCTTTAGACACAAGAGCAAGAGATAAAGTTTGGCCACAGGCTTTTAATTAGTAAATTAAAAATTACACAGAAATCATCATATTCAGTTGAAAAATATTGAGACCTTTCTCCTTAAGATCAAGAACAAGGATGCCCACTCTCAATACCGCCATTCAATATTATAACTGAAATCGGAGCAAGCATAATTAAGCCCGAAAAAGGAAAGATATTCAAACTGGAGATGAGAATAAAGCAATCCCCTTTTGCAGATGTATAGGCTACAGCATCTGTAAAAAGGGATAATTTTGTTCTTCCACCAGAGATCCAATCTCCATCTGGGAGATTCAAACCAAAACCACAATGAGACATCACTTCATATTCACTAAAATGGCTCTGATTAAAATAACAGAAACAGCAAGTATTGGCAATACAGAGAAAACAGAAGCCTCCATCCACTGCTGGCAAGATTGTAAAATGGCCCAACCACTGTGAGAAATAGTTGGGCAATTCCTCAACAAATTAAACATAAAATTCCCTAGAGCCTAGGATTACCACTGCTTGGTATATGCCCAAGATATGTAAACAGAAGATATGCAGATGGATGTTTACATGTGATGTTTATTGCATTATCCATAATAGCCAGAAGTGAAAACGGAAATATTCACCAACAGGTGAATGAGTAAGCAAAATATGGCACACACACACAATGGACTATTACTCAGCAATAGGGAGAGACAAGTCCTGATACACAGGTGAACCTTGAAAACCTCATACTGAGTAAAATCAGTCAGTCACAAAAGGAAAAACATGGTATGGGTCTGCGTATATGAAACACCTGGGATAGAAAGAATATAGAAACCAAAGTATATTTAACACTGGTAATTACTAAGGGCCAGTGAGAGGGAAATAGCCTGATGGCATAGTGGTTACATGCTGGGCTGCTAACCTCAAGGTTAGCAGTTCAAAACCACCAGCTGCTCTGAGGGAGAAAGACAAGGCTTTGTATTCCCAAAAAGAGTTCCAGTCTCAGAAACCAACTGGGGCAACTCCGCCCTGCCCTCTAGGGTCACTATGAGTCAAAATCTACTTGATGACAGTGAGTTTCATTGTGATTTGAGTGACTCGGGGGCAGTGGGGAGAAGGACTTGCTGCTTAGGAGACATCAAACGACTGGTAAGGATAATAGGAAAATTTGGAAATGGTAAATGGTAATGGTTGGACAACATAATGAACATAACTAATGTCACTAAATGACCCCCCCCCCACACACACACACATACACACACTCTCTCTCTCTCTCTCTCTCTCTCACCTTCTGTAGGAAAGAAAGGTGCCCTGGTGGCATTGTAGGGTAAGTGCTGGGTTGCTAACAGATAGTCAAACCTACCTTCTGCTCTCAGAAAGAAAGATGAGCCTATCTTCTCTAGTAAAGATTTATTTAGTCCTGGAGATCCTATGTAGGGCAATTATGAGTTGGAATTGACTCAATGGCAGTGGGTTTGAGCTTTCTTGGTTTTTGGAAAGTAGAAAAGAGGGAAAGTGAAAAGGTGGTAGCCTGGTAGTCTCTGAGATTGCTCCTGTAACAACTGATAAAAAATAAAAAAACATTTGGAATTGATATTCTAATCAAGAAAGAAGTTCCTAGAGATATGAGAAATTAGAGCAATGAATTGAGGAACAGAAGAGCCTCCTTTTCCAGAGGTCTGTAAGAGATAAAACTAATCAATCTGGGATACACTGAGACAGGGCACGATGATTTCTTTGAAAATTTCTATCTATGTAACCAGGGTCTCCTAAAAGGAACCCAAATCTTTTCTGAAACAACAGAAAATGGAAACCTTACTTTTTTTTCTTCCTCTTGCTCAATCTTGGACTCCACTTCATCTTCTTTCTCCAAGCAGGAATCTGGCTTATCAGTCTCAGAGGGCATGAAATCTAAAACAAAACAAAAGGCTAAATGATTTATCAAATAAAATGGTGAGTTAATGAAACTTATCCCGGAGAACCACTATTTCACCCCACCTTTCATGCCAGTGGTCTGTTCTCCATAAAACATGATTCTAAGATTATCATGGGTCTACCCTTTCAAAGTCCACCACCATTCTACATGCACCCTCCCACCATACCTCATTTTGTTTATTTTTCTCCACCCATCCATCAGCCTCAGATATTTGGTCAATGACATTTATGGAGGGGCTCCTACAGCCTCCAGAACTAGACCAAGATGTTGGATGTGAAATACGAAAAGCTTTGTTGCTGCCCTCAAAAAATTCCTCCCCGACCTCTCCCTTCCTCACCCTGGAATGGTCATCCAATTATCCTACCTTTTCCTTTCTCAGTAACATCAAGTGCAGTGTATCGGCTATGGAACCCAAATAAGTTAACCCGCTCCTTGAGGAAACCAAGAGACAAAAACGTCATCCACCTTGGGAAATGCAGTCTGCTACCTCTCAATGGTTATTTTTGCCCTTGTCTTCTAGATTTTAATAATAAAGAATTTTATATTCACTTTCTATATCATTTTCACTGTGAATCTTACAGTAGGGTAGTCTGGATTTTTATGGAGACTAGTTAATTATAACATTTCCTCCCCAATTTACTTTACTTATAATTCAACAAATAAGTGGAAAGGAAAAAAATTCAGTTTGTCATTTTCCACCCACTCCACTCCCAATGGCAGAGTTTGCGGGTAAAAACTGACAGCCTAAAACAAAGGTTTTTTAAAAAAAACACACATACACACCCCAAAATAAATAAATAAAAACCCAAACCTATTGCCATCAAGTCAACTCTGACTCATACTGACCCTAAAAGGCAGAGTAGAACTGCCCTTTGGGTTTCTGGGGCTATAATCCTTTACAGGAGCGAAAAGTTTCATCTTCTCTCAGAGCAGCTTGTGATTTCAAACTGCTAACATGGCAGTTAGCAACCCAATGCATAACCCACCAGGGCTCCTTTAAAACAAAGGTTAGGTCTAAGTATTTGAGGTCCAGTCTAAGTAGGGTGGTAGGATGTCTTCTACCACAAGATGTCTTTATCTGGGCTAACTAGAAGATCCCACTTGTCCAGGGGCAGGGAGAGAGATGGGTGATTTAAGGAGTCAAGGGAATCTGGCCTGGGAACAAAAGAGTAGTTCTGATAAGACTGTGTAGTGGGGATAGTCAACCTGGTTTTGTGCAGTGTGGCTTTTATAGTTTGCTTTATGTCTCAAGTCCCGAAAAGGAGAGGGTTTGCAGGTATGAACACTTTCCCACCTGAATGCTGGTCTGTTCCGCTGCTTCAGCCATCATTACGGCTGGCCCCAGTTTCTGGATGTAATCCTTGTTCCTGAACTTTTTCTGAAATAGAAGATTAGAGTCAATGATAAATAATGACTTAAAGATTCAAGTCAATAATAAATATCAGAAAAGGACCCCCACCAAATGTTATGATCAACTAGATTTATTTCTGGTTCCTGATAATAATTTTGAGAGTGCTAGTCTTAATCTTTTGGGGTCAGAAACATCCTTGTCATCCTTGCAACAAACCTCTACCAATCCCTAGCAAATTCTCAACCAAAATTTTGGTCTCCTCTCCAAAATGAAGCCTGCGGAAATTTAAAAACACAAGATTGAAGAAGTTTAAGTGGTTCCATGTCTGAGATTCTCACAAATTTCATTCCGCAGCTTGATCTTATAGCTGCTTCCTGAGCTACTGGGTCTCTGCTCCATTGAAATGACTACTGGGAGGATATGTGATGTAGCTGATCCAATGGGTCACAATGAGGGCAGTTCCCCACCCCAGGGGGCATTTGGTAACGTTTGGAGCCAGTTTTTTTTTGGTTGTCACACTGAGAGAAGTGTACTATTGGGTCCTAGTATACAGAATCCAGGAATGTTATTAAACATCCTAAAATGCATGGACCAGTCCCCCATAGCAAAGAATGATGTGGTCCAAACGTCAGGAATGCTTTTGGGGGAAACAGAGGCAGCCTATGTGCTCACTTCTGCTACACCTGCTCTGATTAAATTGCAGAAAACCAAGGTCTTCAAGAAGCCTTCCTATCTGGAGACCAAGAAAAATCATTACCCTGCTATCTCACCCTTGGTTATACTTGGTCAGATACAGGACTGTCTCCTAGGAGGAAACCAGGCTTAAAGGAAGGTTCCTTCTCAAGTTCCCCAAATCATGACTGACCCGGAGGGTTGCTCACCGCTCCAGCTAAATCCAGGGACAGCTCCTGAAAGTTCTTTAACATGTTGACTGGGATCCAAGCGCGAGAGACTGCTTCTCCAAAAAATGTCACATGGTACTTAGACTGAAATAAAACATAATCCAATCTGTAATTGTCTCCTGATATTTCTACCCCACCTCTAGCCCTGCCCCCACTTTAGTCCTCTACACATGCACCCCCTCCTCATTCCACTCTGACCTCAGGAAGCCTAGTCAAAGTATATTTCTCAAAATCACAATGGTGCAGTGAACTAAGCATTGGGCTGCTGACCACAAAGTCAGCAGTTCAAACCCACTAACCACTCAGCAGGAGTGATGAGGAAAGATGAGGTTATGTACTCCCATAGAGATTTAGTTTCAGAAATCCTAAGGAGCAGTTGTACTGTGTCCTTTAGTTTCTATGAATCGAAATTGATTTGATGGTACATGGGTTTAATTAGATGCCAGTCTGTTTCTATGTTCATGTCTGTGTTTGTTACTCTAGTTATGCGTCTGTTGCAGGGCAGGCCTATAAAGTGAACAAGAACCCTCATGAGGAATGTACTACTCAGAATAATCAACCATGTAAGACAAAAATGGCAGGATTTGCTGGAAAGCTCAGAAGGCAGGAAGGGAACAGGAAAGAACGATGAATGGCAGCAGGGGAGTTAAGGGAGACAGCAGAAAGAGTGTGGTCACACTGGGGAAATTACAGCTCACATTACCAAAAAAATAAATAAATTGTTGACTGGAAAGCTAATTTGCTCTTTATGTTTTTGCCCAAATTACCATAAAATTGTATTTTAAAATTCTTTGAAAAAGAAGAAAAAGTATCTATTTCTGCTTGCTATGTCTGTAACTCCATACCTCTGTTAGAATGGATTTGTGCTTTATTTTGGCTTGAGTACCTAGCTCTTCCTAAGGGATATGAATTGCTGAGAGGGAGGGAACTCACCGGCAGACAATCCAGATGAGAAGCAAAAAGAAAATACTCTCCCAAGTCAGGGTCAGGTTCTACCATGCCTGGCCACCTGAAAGAGATAGAGGGTGCAGGGGAGGGCAGAGAAGGGGTTCGATAAGCAGAACAAAGCTACATCAGTACACATTGTACAGAGGGCAACCTAGCTTTCAAACAAAAGATCTCAAAGACAAAACCCATCTATTCCTTCCAGTGGATGTCACCAAATGAGTTCAGGAACTTCTATCAATGTCAAAAAATGTTCAGAATCTTCCTGGTGAAGCTATCTTATCCCTCCACCTTGAGAACAAAATGTGACTAAGGACAATTCCAAAGAAGAAACTATCCTACCTTTCCTTGTCTTGTTTACTTTCTGTAGCTTTTAGAGGAATAGGAGGGGAGGAAAGGCCCTAACTCTATGCCCAAGTCCACCCCTCCCATCCCTACTCATCACACCATTATTTCCAGAGTGACACATCTCCACCCTGCATCCTCTAAAAATAAGGGTTTTCTAAGGCTCCAACCTGGGCATTTTGTCTTCTCCTTTACTCCATGTTTGTTCTACGGCAGGTTCCCTTTCCATTATAAATACTTACTAATTTTCCCCTTTCCTCCTTGATTCTATCATTCCTATGATCTTTAAGTAACTAGCTCATGATGTCCTACCAGGGATAACCATATTGCTTGGCCCAGATGATGGATCCTGGGATGTAAGAAGCATAAGCCACATCACTCTCATGCCCTGTCCAGGTCTCTTCAGGAATATCACAGCGATTGTACTCCAAGTCTGCCAAAAAGAGAGAGAAGGAATAAGGGGAAGAGAAGAAACTCATAAGGTGAAAATCTGGATGAGGGCTGGGAAGAGACAAGACGGTGGGACCAAAAGGGCATCTGGGGGGAAGGTGTGAAGAAAGATGGATAAAGATCCACAGAGCATGCAGCTAGAGACCAGAAAAGTCAGAATGCTACCTCCTTGTACTCTAAAGAAGTGATTCCAAACATCTGCTCCTATCTCATTCTGTCTGGCTCTGCTCTCCTCTAATTGTGACCAAGATAGTAACTTATGTGAGGCTCTTTTTCCTCATCTATGAAATAAATGGGCTGTACAAGATTGCCTTAATTCCTTCCAATAAAGTTTCAAACATTCTAGAACTCTATACTAAATGAATCACTCTCAACTGCTTCCTCCCACATGTCCCATAATCCAATGTCACTATCCACTAGCCAAGTGGGCCAGAGCAATGCTGAAGAAAACACAATTCATGTAAAATATTATGCTTAAGATTCCAGGTCGTCCTTATAACATAATTCTGCAGAATGCCTTCCTCCTACTCATTATGCCCAGAGATTCATCCCGATATGAGAAGACCTTTCTTCCTTTCTCCCTAGCCCTACAGGTGATAATGGCACCTGTGTCATATTAATCTAAACAAACAAAAACTCACTGCCATCTAGTCAATGTCGACTCATAGTAACCCTATAGGACAGGGTAGAACTGGCCCCATGAGTTTCTGAGACTGTCGCTCTTTTTTTTTTTAAGTCCCGCCCCACCCTGCCCCATCCCCTTGAGACTGTAACTCTTTACAGAAGTAGAAAGTCCCGTCTTTCTCCCTCAGAGCAGCTGGTGGCGTTTTTTTTAAGTTTGTTTTAATTGTTTTATTAGGGGCTTGTACGACTCTTATCACAATCCAAACATACATCAATTGTGTAAAGCACATTTGTACATTCATTGCCCTCCTCATTCTCAAAAGAGCAGCTGGTGGTTTTGAACTGCCGACATTGCATGTGCAGTTAGCAGCCCAACTTGTAACCATGAAGCCACCAGGGCTCCTTTATTAATCTAAAGGATACATAACAGGGTAGAAAGTACAAACAACAAAACCTGGAGAGAAAAAACAAAACATTTCCACTCCATTCTACCTGTATTCTGGTCACAGGACCAATTACTGGGGAGAATGGAGGGGTCCATGTTCCGACACAGCCGTCTCCATTTCTCACAGTTTGGGGAAGAACACTGGACCCAGACTAGATACTGACCTGTGATAGGAAAAGATTGCATTAGAAGATCCCAAAATATCCTTTCTTCTGTAATCCAAGTAAAATTACGATAAACCTCCCACTGCTACCAAACAACACCAGCAGAGAAAGAGACCTTAGAAATCAACTGATCTAATTCCTGACTTTAAAAATAAGGCTCAAGAGAAGATAAAGGACTTACACTGGGCTTAAAACCCAGGTATCACATCCAGTGGTTCTACTATACCAAGCTAGCCTTTTTCCCCTACCAAGGTGGAAGGGGGCTTTTCCAATAATGACAGCTATTAAATTAAAAGACTGCCTGGCCTCTTTCTTCGCATTTGGTTCCCTAGTGCTAGCAGAAGATTCTTTTGATGGGCTTACCAGCATCTCATTTTAATACAACATCAGAGTTCTTATCCAATAGCAATTAATTTGCCTGTCACCAAATGCCCAAGGTGGAGCCTTTAGGTTCAATGGGTTCACCCTCCTCCAAAAGGTCCAGCCCTAAGTCTATCATTCCTCAAAGAACTACTCACTTCAGCCACTGTTCACAGGCCAAGCATTCCCTTTATCCAATGCCTTCCAAATCCCCACAGCTGTCTCTACCCCTGCATCCTATAAGTTGATCCGCAGCCCCAGACAGCCTCCCTTCTCTCCTCCAGCTCCAAGTTTTAAGGCCAGGTGAGTTGAAAACCAGTCAACTCACCAAAACCACCTTTGTCTCCTTCAAGCTGTTCCGTGATCTGAGCATGATCCTGACCTGAGTTCTTTGGTTGATCTTCCTGTCTGTGCTCATGCCCACCTTGGGATATCTCCAGTTTTCCATTTTCTAGAAAGATAAGGTAAAAATGGAAGGGGGGCTGCAAAAGAGAATTTTATGGAGAGTATAACCTTTAGCTGAAGCCTTTGTGAGTTTCAAGCCTTTAGATGGAAATTCTATCTCCCTACTGTCTCTTTCTCCAATTTCCTAGAATAAATACTTGAGCCAAAAAGCAAAGTGTAGCTGACCATACTTACGAGCATTCTTCTTCCTTTTGTTTAAACACAGTTTGTTGCACTTCTTCTCAGAAGATACAGGATGTGGCTGGCCTGGCTTATTAGCATTTATCTCAGAGACAACACCATTTTCTTGAGATGTTGGATTCTCTGGTGTGTATGGCACGATAAGCCTCCTTCTGAAAATGAGTAGTTTTGTTGTTGTTTTAGTGTAAAAGAAGGAGAACTTTGCAGTACCCTTCTTTTGAAAGAATCCAAGTATACAAATTAAGTTAAATGAATTCTTGGCCCTCTAAATCCTCCTGAGGTAATTTTACCCATTTATTTGCCTGTTTTTCCCAGTTTAAACAAGTATCTTTTCAGAGTGAAGGGAAACTGATTTATAGATAGATAACCACTTACCCTATAATCAGTTCACCTCACTCGATAAACTTACCCATCAAGATTATCAATATTAGCAGTATTAGAAGCAATTCCTAGTTCCTTGTCTGTCTGGGTACCTCCTATAGGCTGGGCACACGATGTCTCTGCAAAATCAAGGACAGAGCCTACCCCTCCCCAAACAAAATGTTATAAGCAGAGCAACAGTAAAAGAAAACAAACACCCCATTCTTTCCTGTCTCTTTCCTTAAAATGTCTCCCATCCTCTGCCTGGGAAAACTTGTGGGTCTTTTGTCATGGAACTTTAAGTCTAATTTTTCCGGGGGGCGAAATGCAAACCTATTTCTCTTTTGCAAGCCTTTTCGGGTTGATCTAATGCTTATTTTATTTTGTGCATATAATAAAAATTATGTGTTGTATTTTATATCATTTGTTCCCCAAATTCCTGCTAGGAGTAAAGGTACACCTGAAAATGACTAAAATTGCCAGGCTATTCTCTCTAGCCTCATGACACCATGGAGTAGGACCTACATGGCAGAGTTCTTTACTCTAAAAACCAAATCCATATGCTAAAATGCTATTGAAGACAGGAATATACTGAGATAAAAAGAGAATGAGTTCTTCGAACTTAAGGAAAATAATTGATCTTTTCTAAATAATTCACAAGTACACAAAATCTATTTAAATTGCATTTTAAAAAATTTAGGGGGTACTATTTAAATTCTAAAGTCAATGTAATACAGACTTTTCTAAACTATTTCCTTACTGAGGGAAGATGGAGGAAAGGAAAAAGCCATCAAACTTAGTCTACACCTTGTCTCTAAAGCCCTTTTTCTCTCAATGTAAACCATACCCAAGCACTCCTCTCGAGACTTCTGTAGCACAATCTGGAAAATTTCCTCATATTCTTCGTTGGTAAGACTAGTCCTTTCCTGCAGAGACAAGGGGAAGACAATAAAACTCTTATCTTTCTATAGTTGTCTTTATTATCAGTCAAGGAAGTCTCCTTCAGGTAAGTCAGGAAGTTGACAAGGCAGAATACAAAATCAACATGCCTAAGGCTCCCATAAACTCTATCCCAGATCTCCTGGAAATAATGGAGTCAGAGAAAAGGAAAACATATATAAAGTCTCTGTCCATTTCTACCCACAACTCGACTCCTACATACTCATTTTTACCTGTTTTCATCCAAGCACTTTTGACCTCTTTTAGATAAAAAAAAAAAAAAGCTCCGGTGGTGTTGTGTGTTAGGTATTGGGCTAAAATGTCAGTGTTAAACCCATCAGCTGGTCTATTGGAAAAAAAATAAGGTTGACTACTCCTGTGAGGATTTATAGTGTTGGAAACTCTAATGAGCAGTCCCACTATGTTCTCTAAGTGAGAATCAATGCAATGTGAGAGACTGTTCTGTTTTGAAGAAAACTGAAACCTAAGAAAGAATAAAAAACTGAAATTACAGGATGAATTTCCCCAACGTGGTAAAGACTGTTTATCTAAACCGGGTTAAAAGAGTAGGGGCAAGAGGGACTGTACTACTGGAGCCCATCAATTTTATTGATACCTTTTCTGCTTCCTTTTCTGCTTGCTTGTTGAGTGGATTCTTTCCTTTCTTCTTTTGACCACTGCCTTGACCAAGCTCTGTGGGTGGTTTCTCCTTCTTCTTAAATCTGGCTTTTGGCATACTTGGCTTAGTCTCTCCCTCTGAGGAAGTGATCCCTAGAGTGTCTTCTTTGAGTGAGTTAGGGTTGGTGAGCGTCAGTCTACGCAATTTTTTTGCTGGCGGAGCAAAACTTTTCATTGGTCCCTTTCCATGTTCTGAAACAAATTGATCATCAAATGGAATTCATAAACCATTGTGTCTTAAGACAGATATTGCCAAACATTGCCCATTGATTGGAGAGAATTTTGAGCAAATTCAGATACCCAGACTTCTCCTTCTCCTCTACCCGCCCCAAGCACCAATTTCTAAGAAGGTCATATGGAATGAAGCCCAAGCTCTCCTTTTTTTTTCTTTCATTTTATTTATTTTTTATCATTTTATTGAGGGCTCTTACAATTCTTATTACAATACATACATTAATTGTATCAGGCATATTTGTACATATGTTTCCATCATTCTTTCCTAGACAATTACTTTCTATTGAGCCCTTGGTATCAGCTCCTCTTTTTTCCCCCTCTCCCCTCCCACACTCGTGACTCCTTGATAGATGATAAATTATTATTTTCATAATCTATAAATTTATTAGGGTATCTAGATATTTCTGGCACACTGCCAGGTTTGGAAACCAATGAGTAATTCAAAGGTGATAAACATAAGCATCCGGAGTTATTGAACTGTGATCTTTTTTTACTTTGGACAAAATTTTATGATATTGGATTACATTTAAAATAACAAGTAATTTTTAATAAAATTAGAGGTGGCAGGAAGTTTGTACTTACAGAATTCCTTCTGTCTTACCCTCTCATCAAAAACAACAAATTATTCAAGGCCCAAACCTTATTCCACCACCTCCATGAAAACTACACTGATTCTCCCAGGTAAAAGTAGTATCTTTATTGTGTGACATGTACCACATTCAACTTTATGTTTTAGATACTTAAAATCTATTTTCTCTCACTATTAAATCATATGTTCCTTAGCAGGGCTATTTATCTCTAAGACATTTATGAGTATATCACTTGAAGTGTCTAACAGAATTTGAAAAGAATGGACACAAAATACATGTAAACTGAATTGTCCTTTTGTAGCAAGTGTCCTGGTAATTACAGGCTAAGAAAGGAGAGGAAAATGAAATGCAAAGTGAATGTTCCCTCACTCTTTAACTTACCTTCTTTATTCTGTAATGTTGTCATCCTTAAGCTGAGGCTACTTTCCTTTGGCTCTGTTAGAAGAAAGAAATTAGCTGTCATGATTGATGGAACATAATTTTACACTTTCTTCTCCCCCTGTGTTCTTGGTCTCAGGATCTCCTTATCTAGGATCACCTAGGTTTTCTGCCTTCTAGCCAAGGTAGAAGAGACGTCCATCTCTTCAACAGGGCTAACTACATGCCAGGAAGTAGTTACTATTTTACAAATGAGCAGTGAACCTTAGTATTTTAAGTACCTAGAACCATGTTCAATGTGAAATAGGCACTCATAAGGAGATAGTTGAACAGTGGCAGTGATGGATGTGTGGTTCAGAGTAGAGCAATGCTAGTTTAGATAACCCTAGGAGTTTAAGGAGCCCCAGTAGTGCTGTGGGTTATGCACTGAACTGTTTACTGCAAGTCTGGTGATTCAAACCTACCAGCTGTTCAATGGGAAAAAGGTGAGGCTATCTGGCCCTGTAAAGATGTGTGTCAGTATCGACATCATGGCAATGGCTTTAAAAGTTATATCCTTTTTACCCTTTACACACATCACCTCATTTATTCTCAAAATTAATTAGCTAGCATTTGGCACTTGGGGAAACAAGTTTAGAGATCTTAAGTAACTGATAATCAGGTTTAGGTAGGACTCGTGTGATTTTGAAGTTTGTGCTATTAACTATGCTATATAGTCTAATTCAATGCGTCATAATAATCAATTTCATGTTATAGCACACACAGAAGCATACCTTGAAAGTACACATTGAAAATACACTGGAAAATGGTATTTGCAGATACTGTGGGGAAAAGGACCAGATTCCTCACAGCCATAAGCAAGTAAAAGGTGGAAGGCAGTGAGAGCCTCTAACCACACCAAAAGCTGAAAAGGTCCATCTCCACACAGCTAGAAGCCACTCATGTTGCTACAGGGTCTCAAGATGAGTCTTGGGAAGCCCCAATAATTGGCAGATTTTTCTAATTTACCTCTTCCCACTATTGCTATTTTTATCTACTTGTTAAAAGACAAATGTCTTTTGTCTTGTCAACCAAAACTACGTATAGCCTTTCTACCTAATTTCTTTATGTGAAGAACATATAAACCACGCTTATTTTCTTAACAACTATAAGGTACTTTATAGCTCTGGGTGGTTACCTGGCTTGCCTAAACCCTCAGTGTTAATACAAGGTAGAGCCATGATAATTTGCCTCTAAATTCTACTAACTCTAATAGTCTTCTCAGTGATCTTACTCCTTGCTGTTGATCTTGAGCACATTGAAGACACTAGACCGTGAAACTCACTCTTCAATTCTGTCACCTGTCACCAAAAAGAGACTCAAAGGAACATAAAATGGATCCTTTTATTTGAAGGACAGGATTCCTCTTTCTAGATCCCAAGATGAACTCAAAAGTGTTGGGGGGTTTGATTTAGTGTGGCCATCTCATGGCTGAATGTATTTTTTCCTGTTCCGTTCCACAGTTCTATAAAATGAATAATTCAGATGTACTGTTCTGCAGCTATTTTTCCTTTATATTAAAGAGTCCATCTCCTCACTATTTCTATCTTTATTCATCACTGCAAACCAAAATATATTTATTCTAGAAAAAAACAAGTGGGAAATTAGGAGAGAAACACTGCAGCAATTTGGTCTATTTTACTATCATTATAAATATTCTAAGTCCATATAACCCTTACTACCAATGTCCTAGGAGCTGAATACAATTAAGTTTCAAGAGATCTATCACCTTGAATGACCAAAAATCCAAGCCAAACCCACTGCCATCAAGTTGATTTCAACTCATAGTCATCCTATAGAATCCAGTAGAATTGCCCATACAGTTTCCAAGGCTGTAAATCTTAAAGAAAGCAAACTGCCACACCTTTCTCCCATGAGTTTGAAACACCACACTTTTGAGTTAGCAATCAAATGCTTTAACCACTGCTCCACCAGAGCTCTTCAACAAGGAACAAATTTTATCCGGATGACAGAATTGGGGGAGAAAGGGAGAAAAAAAATATAGAGATATTAAGAGAAACGCCCGTGAATGTATCTAAATTAGAAGACCTATACGAAGAAAAGCAAAATGAAAATTAGTGTGCTTGAGATGACATATTTTAAAAATCAAATGGTCAATGGCTAATTTTGTGGAAGTAATTGCCAGGTCTTTCTTCCAAGGCACCAGAGGATGGATTTGAACCTCCAGCTTTTTGTTGAGCAGTTCAGTACATGAACTGCTTGTGCCTACCCCTTAATCTAACCTGATCAATGGAGAACAGAAAGCCGGAGACTCACCTTCTGATACAGTTCCTGTTTCAGGCAAATTATCTTCATCCACAATGGCTATTCAAAGCTAATTCAGAGAGTGAGAAAAGTTAATATTCAAAATGACTGGGCTTACAGCCCAGGCATAATAACATTTGAGATTTCAACTTCTTTTTTCCTACCTTAGATGAAAAGAATGGGGTGGGAGGGGGGAAACCTCCAAGGAGGCTTAAAAAGTAAAAGAACCAAGGTAGTTCCATAAACACAACCCCACCAAATTAACATATTCATATAGAAAGTGGTAAATAAAGAGGGGGAAAATAAACAATATGGGAAAGATGAATGCGGCTCTCCCAAAAAGAGAAACCATTTTCTTTGTTAGAACTAAAAATCATCACATTCATTTTGAGATCAAGTCTCAAAAATTCAAGGGTACTGGTTCTCAGAGTGCACTGTGCAGACCCCTGAGAGTCTCTTCCCTTTTCCAATCCCATATTTATATTAGGCTGGATTGTCTCCTATCAGTCAAACCAAGCTATCAGGTTGAAAGCAGACACAGATGAGAATCCAGCTGTCTTCTAATAAGGAAGAGATTTGCAAACATGTAAAATAGTGCCCTTCCTTCACACAAAAATTTCTTTTATTTTATAAAATATACATCAAAAATATTAATGAACACCATCTGAGTACATACTAACTAGGCCCAAGCAAAGCCCCTACACTGCAGCTAGCCAGGGACAGAGCATGCCTAGGGCTGAAATTCTAAGTGCCCCCAAACTCTCAGCATGTGATCAAAGAGGACGCAAAGGTCCAGATCTTCCCGATCCTCGCAGAGTGTACAAGCGGATTAACAGTCCAGGACCAGGGCTAAGGGCATGCTGGGTGGCGCTGGGCAAGTTACTTAGACTCTCTGAGCTTCCATTTTCTCCTCTGTAAAATTCCCATAATATTAATAGATATCTCTTGGGGTTGTTGAAAAGACAGTGCTTAACACATAAAACGTGTCCAATAAATAACAATTTAAAAAATATTAATGAGGCTTACATGTATATTATGGCCACTTTAAAATTACTTTAAATTGATCTTTTAAATGTTTTCACTTCTAGTACGTTCCTAGAGTTCATAGAAATCCAGTAAGCAAAAGCCCTCTGGAGCCCTCTGCCTCATTTCTCAGAGTACAAAAGGGTTCTGGGATCAGTTTCAAAACCGCTTTAGCTCGATCCTTAAATCTTGTATTTCTCAATACGCGTTCGCCACCCCACCCCACCCCCGTTTAAAGTGTGCTCACAAATTTCCTAACTGTACGACTGCTTCCTTTCGTAAAATACTCCTCAAATCCTAGATCTAAAAGAACAGAATGTGCCTAAGAAGAACCTATAAACCCTGTACTTCAATCTCCTCTTAAAACCGAACCAAACTCTGCCCAAGCGCCCGTTCCGACTCACGTCGACCCAAGGCAGGGCAGAAGTGCCGCTTGCTTGAGACTGTGTGCAACTCCTCGCCGTCCACCCCCCAGACGCATCTCCTGTGCTGTTTTCTCCGAAGGCATCGAAATCCTGTCCAATTCCCAGACCTCTCCCGCCACCATCCCGTCCCCCGCACCATTTCCCCTCAAAGTTTGGACAAGAAAATGCCAAATTCCCTCTTTAAAGACCACGCAGTAACTTTGGGCGGTCCATTCGAGTACTTCCGCTCTCTTTTCCCTCACGACGTCCTCTCTTCAGGACAGCCATTCCGAATAAGGCCATCCCTCAGCTCCCCTCAGACCGTGCCGGCCCGGTAGCTTCTTCCTAAGCCCTGCTTCCACAGCCGAGACGCCCACCCAGCAGAGGCCCTCTCCCCAGCTCATTTTGCCAAAGCCTCAGAATTCCCATTCCCACTCAGATTTTCGTTGCCCGCCATTACATCGAGTTATGTTTAGTTTCGAGTTGAGGGCGAGCTTGAGGTTGGAGTCTAAGACGCAGGACTAAGAGTTGGTTGTCGCCCTGAAGAGAAAATTTCTCCTTAGGCAACAGGTGCACAGGTTGGCGGCGCCTAGGGACCTTATCTGCAATCTAAAAGAAGTCAACTACCTCGCGGGCGAGGGAAACATAAAGGCGCTCAGTAGAAAGAGCCGCAGCATTCCCGCAAACCCTACAACCGGAACCCGGGTTTCCCGCCAAGCTATAAAGGCGCGAGGACGCTAACAAGCCCCGCCCCGCCCCGCGCGCGCTCGAGGCAGCGGCGCATGCGCAGCTGAAACCAGCTTTGGCGAAAACGACTTCCGCCATTTTTTTTCAGCTTGCAAAACTACAAGTCCCATCATGGTCACTGGCTTCACCATTCTTTTAGGCGGTAGTAGCGACTACTGTTTGTTCTGAAATGTCTCTTGCTATATTTTCTCTGTGCCCCAGATTGCCTTTTTTCTATCCCTTTTCTTTCTTTGGTGCCTACTTTTCCTTTCAGGCCCTTTCACGCCCTCAGTTTAACTTCTTCAGCCGCTTTTTCAGTCACAAGACTTGCACCCCCACCCCCAAGAACTACAAATAAAACTGACCACCTGGTAACCCTGAGGAAAAAAAACGTCAAATTGCCTTTCCCCCCCCCCCATTGGCTGGGCCCAAAGTAGGGCGAAGATTTTCACACGAAGCGGCACAAAGCCGCAGCAAAGGTTAGAGGAGACCGGAGCACAAGGTGGCAGGAACACGACTACGGGTGGCCGTGGAGGGCGTCGGGGTAGGAGGAGACTGTGACGCGCGTGCGCGGCGGTGCGGCGGGGGGCGGAGTCGCTGGTGTCCCGGCTGAGGGCGGAAAGGCAGGGAGGAAGGCGTGGTATACCCAGGAGATAGGGTCTTCGGGAAAGCGGAAGAGCGAAAACGCCTCAGCCTTTTCGGCGCGGGAAGGAGTTGGGCAACCTCAGCTATTTAAGACTGTTTTTCCGTCTAGCAGAGAATATTTTCAGGGGGAGGGTGAGCTAATTAAAATAAGTCGTATTTACTGAGAACAGACCATAGAAAGTGTTCAGTACACATCGATCTATCTTTTTCTCTACTTTAAAGCGTACTCGGCTCCCTCCGAAGGCCTTGGAAGCGAATGGGCTGTGGGACAGCCAGTGATGAATAATTCATGAGCCCGCCCCTTTCTGAGTCACACCTCTCCGAGTCACGCTGACGCACGTTGCGTGTCCCCAACCTAAGGAAGCGACGTAACAGACCCCGCCCATAGGGCGGAGGGCGGGGGCTCCTCTCCAGCACGTGCTGCATCTACCCGCGCAAGCCCAACAGGGTGTGCGCAGGCGCTCTCCGCAAGGGGGAGGAAGGAGGCGGGGTGGGGAGGTTGTTGGGTTTAGAGCCGGGCGGAGGCCGCTGAGACTCATTCCTCAGGAACAAGGGTCGGGTGTGAAGGAGACCTTTTCACACCAGCTTCTCATCCCCCGCCTACGGTGGGTGGGATCGCGCGTCTGAGACAAAGGATATCAGTAGGGACGGACGTAACTGCGAAGGGAAGTAGGGTGTCAGTTTGGGGCGGTGGGCTTTTGGGGGGCAAAAGGGGGACTATATTTAAACTCCCTGGAGCCGTTAAGTTGGTTCGTACTCTGATGCGCGCGCAACCAGGGTGGTGGCGGAGTGCGCATGCGTGACTGTGGGGGGGGCGGAGGAACGCGCTTTAGCAGCGCGCGCTCGCGATTGAGTGGTAGTGTTGGAGGAGAAGAGGGGTCGGCGCAAGCGTGGTTGATTTCTCGAGTTGCTCGGGTCTCGCGGGCATCTTGTTTTGGTCTCGCGGGCGAGCGGGGCACGCAGTGGGGGGGGGCCGCGGGCGCGAGACTAGGCGAGCCGAGCAGGGCTGCGTGCGCACTCGGGAAAGGGGGAGGGGAGTAGGGTCTAGGAAGTGGGGGTTAAGCCCCCTGATCCCCCTCGTTACCCTCGATTGGGACGGAGTAAGGGGAGGAAATGATCGAGATGGCGGCGGAGAAGGAGCCGTTTCTGGTGCCGGCCCCGCCGCCGCCGCTCAAAGATGAGTCGAGCGCAGGGGGTGGCCCCACGGGGCAATCGCACCGAGAGGCCGCCTCCGGGCAGCTCCGCGGCCGGACGGAACGCGGGCCGGGCCCTCGCGTACACACGGCGGGGTCCCCTGCTTCTGAGGCCGGCAAGGAGAGCCCCGGGGCTGCCTCCACCCCTCGGGGCGGGCTGTTGCAACAGCAACGAGGGGCCGGCCCCCAAGCGCAGTCACAAGGGGAAGCCAGCTTGTCGGATCCCCACGGGCGAGCAGCTCCCCCAGAGGTGGGGGAGGAGCGACGTGGGGGCGGAGGAGGTACAGAAATGTGCCCCCCTGCTCCTCCTCGACCTCGTAATGGCTACCAGCCTCACAGGCCCCCAGGGGGCGGTGGGGGCAAGAGGAGAAATAGCTGTAATGTAGGGGGAGGTGGCGGAGGTTTCAAACATCCGGCCTTCAAAAGGCGCAGGCGAGTTAATTCGGACTGTGACTCGGTGTTACCTTCCAACTTCCTTCTGGGGGGCAATATCTTTGATCCACTAAACCTGAATAGTCTTCTGGATGAGGAAGTGAGCCGGGCGCTCAATGCGGAGACCCCTAAGTCATCCCCACTTCCGGCCAAAGGGCGTGATCCAGTGGAGATCCTCATCCCCAAAGATATTACTGATCCACTCAGTCTCAATACTTGCACTGATGAGGCCCAAGTAGTTCTTGCTTCACCACTCAAGACTGGTCGGAAGCGCCATAGACACCGGGGACAGCACCATCAACAGCAGCAGGCAGCTGGAGGGAATGATAGCCACTCCACCACGCTGCCTCCAACCCCTCTCACCCCTTCGCTTCATGGGGAGGGAGCCCCGCAGCAGGGGCTGAGAAGCCAGAACCGAGATGCACCCCAGCCCTATGAACTCAACACAGCCATCAACTGCAGGGATGAGGTGGTGTCTCCCCTCCCAACTGCCCTCCAGGGTTCCACAGGCTGCACTTCACTCCCTCCAGCTGCCTCACTTACCCCTGCACCCACGTCTTCCTCCTCACGGCATCGCAAACGTCGCAGGACTTCCAGCAAGTCGGAGGCAGGGGCCAGGGGTGGAGGCCAGGGTCCCAAGGAAAAAGGCAAAGGGAGTTGGGGAGGCCGCCACCACCACCCTCTGCCTGCAGCAGGCTTCAAAAAGCAGCAACGCAAGTTCCAGTATGGGAATTATTGCAAGTACTATGGGTACCGCAACCCTTCTTGTGAGGATGGGCGCCTTCGGGTGTTGAAGCCAGAGTGGTTTCGCGGCCGGGACGTGCTCGATCTGGGTTGCAATGTGGGCCATTTGACCCTGAGCATTGCCTGCAAGTGGGGCCCATCCCGCATGGTGGGCCTGGATATCGATGCCAGACTCATTCACTCAGCCCGCCAGAACATCCGACACTACCTGTCCGAGGAGTTTCGTCTCCCACCCCAGACTCCTGAGGGGGACCCAGTGGCAGAGGGTAGGGAAGGGACCACCACCATCCGAAAGAGAAGCTGCTTCCCGGCCTCATTGACAGCCAGCCGAGGTCCCATTGCTGCACCCCAAGTGCCCCTGGATGGAGCGGACACCTCAGTCTTCCCCAACAATGTTGTCTTCGTCACGGTAAGGGGGTCTTAAGTGCCTTAACTCCTAGGAGAAGCAGATCCTCAAGAGAAGGGTCTGAGTTGGAGATTAAGTGCCTCCACTGGGAGTCTCCTAGCCTGGGAAAAAGGTGGGGTCTCTAACTTGGAGGCTTTAATCCTGGAGTTCTTTCTCATGAGTGCAAAGTTCTCTATCCCAGGATAATGGTTGACTCCTTTTGCCCTGCCAGCTTGGACTAAAATGCTGCCTTGCCTTGGGGGTTGCTGGGACTGCTCACTGGGTTCTTTTCTTGACTTTCCCTCCATCATAACTGATGTTCTCTTATGAAAATGCACAGCAAGTTAAGGACCCATTTGACAGTTTCTGTGCAAATTAGTCAGCGTCGTTAGTTACCTTTCACATCATCATTACCTGTTGTTTTCCTGGGGCTCTTTCTAGTACTCTAGCTTGGCTTTTCATTCTCAGCTTTAGAGTAAATGCCGGGCTCTAAATCGCTTAGAGATGGTGTTTTAGGAGCCCGCCTATCTCATGGGTCAGCTCCTTTACTTTGGGTGTTGCTTTGCTGTTTCACAAAAAGGTGGCTGCGGCAGAGTTGGGAGTGTAAAGATCTCATGGAGGCCCCTGGTCCAGTTAACCTGGCCTGTTTTTAAGAGTTGGCACTTTCTCCTTTCTGTGGAGGACCACCTGTTGTGGCCTCAGTCACAGGTCAGTGGTGGTAGCTCGATACCATCTAATTCTGGTTTCTGGGTTCAAGGAGATTTCATCAAGATGGAAATTAGTCGTCAAGCCTACTGAAGGGCCGTGAAGGGTGGGTGTTAGACTTGGCAGGGGGAGAGGGGCCAAGGGTGACAGGATCAGAGGAGTGGCAGACTACTGTTCAGTTTCTGAACAGTTCAAGTCAGCTGCTTTTGAATCCTTAGATTGTCATTGTAGTGTCACGAGTCAGTAGCCCAGGTAGCTTGCCTTTAGTTCAACTCCACATTGATCCTAGTTCCTGGGAAGAATCAGTCCACCTCAGAAGGAAGAATTGGGTCTCTTGTTGGAGAGTCTCCCAACTGCGCTTCATCCCCATTTGCCACTCCATTTGGACTGTGCTAACGCCTGGAAGAATAGGCTTGCCAGGTTTTGTCTGGGAGAAAGGAAAGGAGGGTGGGCTTGAAACTTTGCCAATCCCAGCTACGGGGAAATTCTCCTTTTCAAACCCTGCCATAATGTTGAGTCATTTGGCCCAGGGTTTGTAGGGTTGGGGAGTAAGTATCAGCCAGCTAGGGAATTGGGAGAACCCTGGCTTTTTTTTCTCTGAGCAACTTGGCCTAGCATCGGAGATGTGCTGGATAACTTGCATAATTCATCACTTATCTAGGCTCCCTTTTTGTATGGGTAGGAAGCCAGGGCAGGAAAGTGTCAAGGGAAGATGAACCCCAAAGAGAGCACCCTATGGGAGGTAGTCTGAGAATGTCAGAGAGGATGGCGGCCAGAACCTTGTCATAGATGTGAAAGGTCGGATGGGGACAGTGGTTCTTCTCATCTCCTTGTTGACCTCACCCCCAATTCTTGCCCTCAGGGTAACTATGTGCTGGATCGGGACGAGCTGGTGGAGGCCCAAGCACCTGAGTATGATGTGGTACTCTGCCTCAGTCTCACCAAGTGGGTACATCTGAACTGGGGAGATGAGGGGCTGAAGCGCATGTTTCGCCGAATCTACCGGCACCTACGCCCTGGTGGCATCCTGGTCCTAGAGCCCCAACCTTGGTCGTCCTACGGCAAGAGAAAGACTCTCACTGTAAGTTCAGTTTGGGTGGAAATGGGGGGAACCCTTTCTTTGAGGCAAAAAGGCTTATGAAAGGGAGAATAAGGAAGCAGAGAGGGGACCCTCTGAACAAGATGAAAAGGTTCAGTGAGCAGGTAGTATCATTCTGGGAGGGCAAAGGGCAGGCTAATACCCACCCCCACCTTTTGCCCTTCTAGGAAGCAATCTACAAGAACTACTATCGAATCCAGCTGAAGCCAGAGCAGTTCAGTTCCTACCTAACGTCGCCAGAAGTAGGCTTCTCCAGCTATGAACTGGTGGCCACACCCAAAAACACCTCCAAAGGTAAGCCGAGTGAGCCTGTGTGGTTGAGTCAGGGTGAGATGGAGGCAGGCAGGTTCCAGCTGAGATGATGTAGACCTGGTGGAGAGCCCTGAGGTCCTGCCAACCCTTCCTGACTGTACTCTACCCCCTGCCCTCAGGTTTCCAGCGTCCGGTGTACCTGTTCCACAAGGCCTCTTCCCCTAGCCACTAAGTGGTCTCCTGAACAAAAAAGGAAGAAGCTGCCCGCTGCTCCTGAGAACCTGGGGGAAGAGGAAAGTCTCCCAAGGTCTTTCCTTTCTGGCTCCAAAAAAAAATTTCCTTTCTTGGATCTGCAGAGAAAGCTTTTCCTATGTTGCTGCCTCAGTCTCCTTCCTCCACCTCTGGCACCTAAGCAGTGAGCCCAGCTGTGCTGAAGTTGCCACGTTCTCCTCCCCTCAGCCTGCTGGGCTGGATGGCATGGACTGTTTGACTTGTTCTCCTAGGGCATGGGAGGTAGGGGTATCAAATTCTCCAGCCCTTTTCCTCTTCTCCCAAGGAGAGACTTTCCCGTTTCTCCTCAGCCCTTGTCCCTTGCTGCATTTTTCCGTGGACCACAGACAAATGGACTGAGGGTTTGAGGGGGAAAGTTTGGTGGGGAGGCACGCAGGTACTGTGAAAATCCTTCCCTCTGCTGTCCCCCATTGGGAGGAGAGGTTGGGTTTTGAATGTTAAGAACAGCACAATAAACTTGATGTTTAAGGCAGTGGCCCACACTCGTGTCTGGCACTTTCTAGCCAATGGGAAAGGAGGTAGGACTACAGTCTGCTCATACTGAAGGTGTTTTTCAGTGGTTGGAAAGATGATGGAATGCTACTCGGGTCTATACACAAGTATACTGGACCCAAGCCAGGAAAGGGGTGCAATACAAATTTTGGTGTGAAAATTCAAGCGTCATCCCATTTTCCCTCCCCACCAATCCCTGCTGACACACTTTCTGATGGGTGCTTGAGGCAGGCTAACCATTGAAACAGAGTTGATGACAGGGTTGGGGAGTGGAAGGTGTGTTAGGAAAAAAGCTGCTTCAGACCAGAGCCACCAGCCTTGCCAAGTGTTGCTGCACACTCAAGGAACCCAGCATTCTAGGAACAGTGTAAACATGACAGAAATTAAAGGTACTTTCAATAATCCAGTGCATGCAGCTGCCTTTCAGCTTCCATAGCAGCTTCCACAGCAGCTTCCATAGGGTGGGCCGGGCAGGAAGGGCTCTCAAGTAGAGAGCTAACGCCCAAATGTTAACGTGATTGGAGACAGATGGTCGGAAAAACCCAAACTCACTGCCATCAACTCTGACACATAGCAACTATAGGGTAGAGTAGAACTGCCCCTGTGAATTTCTGAGTCTGAAGCTCTTTACTATGGTAGAAAGTTTCTGGCTGGTGGTTTCAAATTGCCCAGTTAGCAGCCCAATTCGTAACCGCTAAGCCACCAGGACAGTTATGGTGGGGAAACCAAAAGCCACCAAACCGGTTGCCAGAGATTGCCAACCTTGTGTCCAGGGTCAAATTGCACTCACCAGGTTTTCCTTCTAAGCACCTCTGGGTGGGTTCAAACTTTCAACCTATTAACTAATAGCCAAACTAGTTGCCCAACTAAACCATTTAGATGAGATGGGGTGGGTATTGAAACTCCTGATTTGGACTGTTTATCACGTTGCCACTGCTTGCAAAAAAGTATCAAGAATTCAACTTACCAGCAGCGTTCAACCTGAGGCTTAGGGGACCAACCCCTAAAGAGTTTGCCCTATCTTAGAGGTCCCCAAAAAAGGTTCATTTGTTAGCAAAACCTCTTTATTCTGGAGGGAAAGGGAAAAGAAAAAGTCACACAATAAATGGGGCATGCAATCCAGGCATCTTCCAGTTCTACGCTTCCCAGCGCCTCAGAGTCCGATACATGAGGAAGGTGTCCTCGGCTGGGCGGGGCCGGGGCCGAAGGCGGAGAGGAGGCAGGCCTTCCAGGCTCAGGTGCGGCGATTCATAAAACAGTGTTTCTGGGTCGCAGAGGATGGTCATGTCTGGCCCTGCCCCCGGTGGCTCCTGTTGAAGTTGGGGCCCAAAGTGGGGTTACCCCGCTAGGAGGAGGCAGATGCCTGAACGGAGGATGGGTAGGTAGGCTGGCGCCCAGGTCCCTCACCTTTGGGGGCGGGGCTCGGGCCTGCGGCGGCAGAAACGCCTGTTTCTCCCGGAGCGCGGCGTTCAGAACCTGCTCCTCCGGCACCTGCAGGCTCACCAGGTCCCGGAAGAGCCGCTTGGAGCGTGGCACGTTCAACCCTGAGACCGCAGAGGGGGCGGGGGGGTTGGGGGGAGGTGAGCGGCGCCCGTCACCCCCACTCCCGGTGGGGCACCTGGCGCCAGTCCTCACCCTCGGCCACGCTCTCCTCCAGGCCACAGCGGGTCTGGAACGACTTTCTCAGATGCTCCTCCACGGCCTTCTCGGCGTCGAAGTGGCCCTCAGCAGCGGCCCGCGCGGCCTGCAGCTCGAGGCCCAAGGCCAGCGTGCTCTGAAGCGCGGGCGCCTCGAGCTCCTGCGGCGCCGCGAGCTGCTCGCTCGGTGGCGGCGGCCGCGGCTCGGAGTGGCTGGGGGAGGTGGGCGCCAGGCGGAAGCGGACCTGGAAGCACAGAGCGGGGCTGTGAAGAGGTGGGCGCGGGGCTGGCGGCGGGTGAGGGGCGCCACCTGACACACACACGCGCCCCGCCCCGTTCACCTGTCTCCCCTTGCGGGCCCCGCCCCGCCGGTGAGCCCGCCCCTTCCGCCGCCCGGGGCTGCAGCTGGACGGCTCCGGGCTCCCAGGCCCCGGGCTCGGGCTCAGGCTCAGACTCAGGTCCAGGCCGGGTTCGGGCACGGGGGCGCGGGGCTCCGAGGCTCGAGGCTCTGGGGGTGGCCCAGGGGTCGCCACGGCGGCTTCTTCCGCCGACTCCAGCCCCGACTCCCCACAGCCCATCATCTTGGCCTTGCCACAGGGACGAGGGACGGCAGGGGAGTTAGGATCAGGTAACACCGCCACACTCCTTGCCGCTACCGGAAGCCGTTAGCCTTCCTCCAAGGGGGCGGGGAGAAGAGCCCCAGCCACGCCCTATTGGCGCTCCCGTTCGTATGACTTCCTCTGCTCCGCCCCGACTTCCGCCCACTCCGCCTTGGTCCCGCCCCTCGCCGTGGTTTTAGGGCAAAGCTCGTAGAAGCTACGGGTCCTCCACAGGACCATGATCCTCCTAAGAGCTGTGGTGTAGCATGCCAAGCCTGAGACCCCCTGCTTCTGCTCGTCTGGAATGTATCATTTCTCCCTGTGGGGTGCTGCACGGAGCAGCTTTAACTAAACGGTCCGCTGCACCCCCACTCCAGGTCTTCAGGACACCGCCCTGTTCCGTCGCCACCGAACTCGAAAAGGAGGCTTTTCCCTACCTGAGTGCGACCCGGCACGCTCACGAAAATTGCTAACCTGGCAATAATCGCCTTATCGCCCTTGCGACCTTTTATGACATTTTCTCTCTATGGGCCCTTAAAATACTCATCTCTTAAGAAAAATAAGTATCTGTGTTGGATTCAATTCTTAAAGAAAGGTCTGGTGTATTTGTCCTGAGCTTCAAACTTCCTGTATCCAAAGATCCCAGGACATCGGGACAGGTGCTTCAACTCCCGCCGACCCCTTCTATTCATTGGGGCAGCCCCCTTCGGGCTGTTTTATCACGTTACTGCTAGTCAATGGGCATGTTTCTGAGTACCCTTCCCTAGAGAGGTCTGGGGTGAAGGGTATCCAGTTAAATAATAAGAATTGAAGATCTTAACTGGGAAACAGGCCTTCTTGGCAAAGTCAAGAATAACAAAGTATGTCCTTTGTATCACCACGACTCAACTGTGAAAGAATTAAAAATCCATTCCCTTGGAGTTGATTTTCAGCAGCTAAATTTTGAGAGTAGATTGCCTGGCCTTTCTTCGGAGGGTTAAGTACTTGGCTGCTAGAACTGGGTAGATCTGTTCGATAGAGTTTCCCAGGCTTTACAATGAAAACAGACAGCCTCATCTTTCTCCAGGGCATCTGCTGGTGAGCTTGAATCACTACTGACCTTTCCTTTAGCAGCCCTGAGATTAACCCAGAGTGCTGTGAGAGTTCCTTTGATAGAGGCTGGGAAACACAATGGGGCAGTTCGACTCCATCTCCTGGGTGTTCTGCTGAACCACCTCGCGGTGAGCAGTGTTTAACCATTTGTGCCACTTGCACATGCTGAGCGAGAGCAGCAAACCCAAACTGCCCTTTGGGTTACTGAGACTCTGTGTGTGTGTGTGTGTGTGTGTGTGTGTGTGTGTGTGTGTGTGTGTA